GTCCTAAAGTGAAAACCAAGTGCTGAGGAGAAATGGACTCGAAACCCACGAAACTGTATTGAATCCCATCCTTTGTTATATAACTGTTTTAAAGCCATTGCTTCTGCGATTAACGATGGCCTTCTCCGAATCTAGTTTCCAAAGTGGACGAAATTCCAAATCCAGTCAAATTGTAAAGAGGGATCAGTGATGTTGCGATCAAGTCTCTTTTCACTCGGATGAAAATCCGATGACCAATACGATTGGCTCGTGGGTAATTTTCTTACAGCACCGATTACGTTGTGATAGCTGATGGGGGAGGATGATCAAGGGGACGGGCTGGACGACGCTCTAATTAGAAGATGGACTGCGTAATGCCTCAGTTGTCAGTTTAACTTTGGGTTTTGGAAAGGGGGCCACTCGGAGCTCCTTATTGTACCTACTTCGGGTGACCTAAACCTTGGACTAAGCCTCTTGTCCTCTCTTCCTGCTCAAGGCCTTCTGTACGTCAGCATCACGTATTGTGCCGAGTGTTGTGTCTCCTTTCGTCTTCAGGGAAGCCTCGGACCACTACATAAGCACGACAGAATAGGATACCATTAAGATATCCACAATTCGATATAATATTTTCTAAATTGACAGCAATGCCTGTTTCTATAGGCCATTTTAGTTAAATAAACCTAGTTCCAAAGTCTACCTTTTATTCAACCTCAATTGCATATGTGCGTAAATGAGTCAAAGTCATTTGACTAGGATGGACTATTTTTAGTGTGTTTGTGTTCTGTTTGATGACACAACGAATGCATAATGTGTAATTGTCAACATTCGATCCTGGCAACCAACGGAAAACCACTTTTTATAAACGCATTGTATACCAACTGGAAAGCATTAGCCGCTTGTTATTGCTACTCGGGTGTTTCGGCAAACATTTAGTGTGTCCTACATACAAAATCAAAGTCAGCAACTCAGGGTCGTTTTTACAAATTTGAGGTCTGATTTGCTAGAATTCGGACGTAAACAGGCGAGAGTTTGACGTCCACGCATTCTATGCGCGTTGGCGGACCGGATCAGGGATAAACAAGTCTCGTGACTCACTGCACACTTATGCACGCACTCCGTAAATGTCCCACGATTGTTTGATACCTTCACTGACGTTGAACGCGACAACGACCAACGTCACTGTTTTCAAGTGGTCCTGAAATGATTAAGTGCAGTGGAGTTTCCGAATATACGCTCCAGCGATTTAACATATCACCATCCTTTGATTTTGCATGCCTTAGTGATCGCTTATGACAGAGGTCGCATTCATTAGCAGAAGACTCGTTTAACATATATGAAATGAACTATCTAAAGGCGAGTAAACCCATGGGCTTGCAAAACTAAAAATTATAAGTTTCAGTCATTTTCTGTGCAGCCATTGTAATGAGTTCATTGTTTAACTCGTGATTTTGGTATTGGGCCCCTGAGGATCGCCGCCATTGTACCTCCATCGGCGGCCTTGTTCTTTTCACTGTGCGAGTAGCCCTAAGCTCTACAGCAAGTCGGTAACGCATTTACTGCCCTGGTACTATGAACTCCTTCTACTTCAGGGATGACTCAGAGATGAGATATGGACTACACTGTGCTGGTGACCTCCCATCTCTTCTGGAAAATTTGAAGAGCTACGGTGCTATAGTAAAACGTTCAAAATTAAGACAAGATTCCCCTTTATAAGAAGAGAGGGGATAGTAATGGGAGTGGTCACCCATAACAGGCTGCATTAGGTTAACAAAGTTAAGCTACTCACAGCTTTTTACTTTGGTGTAAAGTAATCCCAATATTATACTATATTCTATGTGTTTCATGAAGAGGTGCTTATCATTTTTTATGATGTGCAAGCATGCAGAATAATCCGAGATTAATTTGTCAGGCTACAAGCATTTTTGTAATTTCGTGGGTTAATATTTTTTGTAGATTTTAGCGAATTTGTTTTAAGTGTTTTTACAGACTGTGGTGCGACTGGTTGACACAGCCAGACCAATACCGGTTCCGCTGTTTGATTTTCGTTCGGCGTAGTGCGTGTTCTTTCCAGAATTTGTGCTTTCACTACCTCATTTGTCTTTACTAATCAAGTGCAGCCAAATCATTTTCACCGTTAGCACGTAACTCGGTGCAAATTGCTCTAACTTTTCATATTTATGGGGTGTATCTTCTGGAATATTTCATGCTCCACTTCTTCGAGGCTGGTCTTATTGTACGTATGTTGCAGTTTCATCCTTTTTTTTGAATCGAGTATTTGCTCGCAAGAGGAGTACTGCTTTATTTGTAAGATAGTACGCTTCCAGAATAATACATGTTCGGTGAACTTCTTCAACCCATATCCTATTTGTTGCTCCGTTTGCCCTTTTCACCTTCCAGGCTTTACAACTTTGGAAGAGCAGTTGCGTGTTTTGATGCTGTCCTAATATGTTAACCTGGCAAATGGTCAAAGGTACTTCACGAAGAGTAACGAAAAAGCGGCAAGTGCCGTGATTCACTAATATTCTCCCTTTATATCCTACATGTCTTAGATAAACTCTTGTTGCCTGTTCAATAGCTCAGTTGTTTTGTGTGCCTTTCTCGAATCTTTTTCACCAAGTTGCCTCCTCGAGAGTTAGTGCAGGTAGGTCGTCATTTCCAACTGATAGATCTGGCTGAGTTTCGTCCCCTGCTGGCAGCCTTCATCTGTAATGCTGCAGTTTCTTCTGAAAGGGTTAAGCTGATTCTAAACCGTGCTCTAAAAAGGTGTTACGCGTCTCTAAAATGCAGAATATCTTGCATAGCATGGCGAAAAGGTACACCAAGTTGGAACTTTAACCGCCACAGATTATTTCTGTGATCCTGTATTGTCAAGTCCATCAATTCAGGAGAAGAATCCTGCAGCTCTGGCGTCTTTGGTCCTCAGTTGCTTTCATGAAATGATCTGCTCCTTTAGAGATGCTATGATTGCAAGTTGAAGTGATGCATTCATTGTGGGATGGGTTCCTTTTAAATTGTCGTATGCAACAAGGATACTGTAGAAGTAATATAAGCCTGGAGAAGTGAAAACGCACCATTACGCTTGGGTGAAGTATGTACTTCCTCCACGCTAATGTGCATTTAAGTTTTTCGTACATAATCGTGCTGGTTAATTGGGGAATAATAGCATTCTGGACACTCATTTCTGATTTTGGTACAGTAAAACACCGTTCTCCTATGAAAGTTATGAGCGTTCATGACATGCTGTCACCTTTCCTGTTGTGGATTCTGAAATCTCGTGTGTCAGAATTTTTCATTGTTTTGCACTGACACCTAGTTGCTGTCACTATGGTATTATGGGTGTTTCCGGGATCGGATCCTCTGTTTTGCTGTAGTATTTCATTCGAATACTGTAGTGCGCGGTCTACCATCTTTGTTGCATTCAATCACATAAACAGTTGGTAGTATGTTTCCACTAGCTGTTTTACCATCAAATGACATGAAGTACTTGACGAGTTTTGCTATTTCATATCATTCGTTAAGTAATTTTTTACTTGTTTGGCGATGGTGAGTTTTCTATGTTGCTTGCTATTAGTAAGAATAAAAAGCCGACGATTGCTTTTCCGAAGCAAATGATTTAACATTAACGCATGGTATAGCGTTTACTTCGATTCTTTAAAAGCCTTATTGCAGTCATATTCATGATTAAGGCCTTTTCTATCGCGATCCGTTTTTTATCTTAAAAAACCTCAGTTTTGCGGAACCCATTTTTGAAGCGGCTGTAGTAACAGGTCCTGTGCCCGTTCACATTAATTGCTACTCTGTTTAACGTAAAATTTGCTATTCTTAAGATCATCTGATCCGTGTTCCATAACCGACCCAATACCAACTTCTCGTTTCCGTTGTTTCGATACAATCCAAGCATGTGAGGCAAAATGCTGAGAATAATCCGAATAGAACTATTTGTATTAGTCACTGAGACGTGTTCATTGGTTTGCAAAGTTAAGTGAGAATTTTTGGGGATCCGTTTTACAAACAAAGATGTTTTTATTCGTTTTTGGCGTTTGTACTTCCCAGTAGCCTAGGATCGAAGTTGTGTTTTACAAGTAGGGATAGTGTATCTTTTTGTGTCGGTGATTAGTGAGACTTGGGGGAAGTTTATCCATTTTATCAGTTGATGATGCGATACTTTCGAACGTAATGCGGTGTTTTGTTCGAGACATAAAATGACTTTGGTACTGCATAGAAAATAGCTCTCATGCTTTTTTCGGATGAATGAAGGATTTTGTTAAACGGAGTATTCTTCACACTGCGATTTGATGTCGTTTCATTGCCTTCATTCTACTGAATACAAACCGGAAGGCCCATCGGTAGTACGGAAAACCTCTTGGGTTTACTATAGATAGACTGCGTTTAAGTCTATGAAATAGTCGTATGAATTATTTCCTTAGTTTATCTGTGACTAGAAAGAGGTGGGAAGCGTTAGAGACTAGAAGAGGAGCAGGATATGTGAACTCTTCCAAGCTCTGTTTGGACCAAAGGTGTTTCTGTGTAGAATAGTGACATGAATGAAAAATTTAGGCGCTCTTCAGGGGGGTACTAGGAAACTCCTTGCTTGAATTGGTTTGCGACTTACCTTTGCACCGGTTCCTGAGGTTCGGCAACATAGGAGACCTTTTTGGTGAACCCCTCGGGGTTCTTGGTGTTTTTTTATCAAACCATCGATTAAAGAGGACTTGTGGTATGGTGTAGCTAAAATAAACGGCTGCGGCTAATACTACAATTGTAATCGAATGGGACCACTGATGCTACTGCTGACATAGCTCGACCCTTGCTTACTGTGTCCCTTCCATCCTAGGGTTTCTTTAGTTTCGATAATTCGACAGGCATGTGAAGATCTTTATTTATGGTAGAGAGTGACGATAAAGCTGCTATAAGCACAAGATTCACCGCTGTTCTTTCAGATTCAGCAAAACAATCCTTCAACTGTAATATTCTTTCTGGAAAAGATATAGTAGAGGTAAACTTGCATCTTTTTTAGAGAAATGACTAAGATTGAGGACGGAGAGGAGGATGTTAACATGCACGTCTCTTGGCTTCTGCTCTCCGATGTGCCACCGAACACGCTGATAGGACTAGACACGAACGTATGGACAGTGGGTCGTAATTTTCGCGGCGTTCGTAACATCCCCCTTGGGCTGCACTACCTCTTCATTAACGCGGCCGCGAATGGTCCGGAAGGAGAGGTCATCTCCGGCCCGCGATGTGGTGTTTTCCTCGATCTCTCTAAGCCATGTGTCGTCAAAAAACGCTGGGTCAAGGAGTCCGAGGAATTTGTGGACTTGCCCAGCACCGAAGGCGACGTCGACTTAATGAGATCGAATCCGACTGAAGTGAAAATGTATCTGATAGCCTATCCCAAAGAGAGGTAAATACTGCACTGAGAACTTCTGTGCCCCTTGTACTGTAAAAAACATGCAAAATTACTATTGCAGATTCGCCAACTGGGTAGCACTTTCCTCGCATATTACATTAGACACAATAAACAGACTACAACCCTCTGGCAGATATATATACTCCTGTGCTTTATTTCTGTCGGAAAAATCAATGAGTCGTGACAGCGCCTCCCTACCCATCCCCACCCGTTTGTGTCGTAGTTGTGAAGGCATTGCTGCATCAGAATCACTTGCCAGAGGGGAGGAGCAATTGCCAACTTTAAGGACTCTTCCAGAGACTGATGTAAGATTCCCAATTGATTGATTATCCCTAGATATTAGTTACACTGGACAGAACTGCCCCAGCATCCGCTCTACCCACCAGGTTCGTCTCCAGCGCAGATAAGTCAGTACAACATGGACCAAACATACACCCTTAATCACATTATTGCGCAGCTGCAATATCCCGGAGAGCAATTGTCATCAACTAGCGCACTGACGCCTGCCGAGGCTCGTCTGCTTGGCGAATTTCACTTTGCATTTGTCGTCTTCCTCTTTGGTAAACCAATACTTCCGCAGTGTAAGTAATTGGTGCAAATTTAGGTGAAGTTCTGGAGGGCTGGTATCAGTGGCGGCGCCTTTTTTCTCTGCTGGCCAACTGCGAGCGTGCGGTGGTGGAGAGGCCGCGACTTTACAAAGCCCTCATTACAAGCCTCTACCGTCTCCTCATGTACAGCGCCAGCGGCGAGGTCACGGGTAGCAATGGGGCTGATGTCAACGTGGCGAGGCTCCTTCATGCGGGAGGAGAAGAAAACGAGGGGAGAGGCTTCCCCGCCCATTTCGACGAGTGGTATGAGTGCCACAATGGACCCGCCTTTCTGCCGCACACGATGACGCGGCTCTTTGGTAACATAGCGGAGGCAGCAGCAACAGCTCCAGCCGATCAAATTCGACTGGTGGAAGACCTGTTGAGTCGCGCAGAGGGGCTTCGCGTTTGCCTGGAACGACGCTTTAACGTGCGCCTCCCGGGACGCCGACACTCCGCCCTCGTGGACGGCGGACTGCTGGCTGAAGAGGTGGACTGGGACACTGACGAAGCACCCGTCATTGTTTGTGATTAGGTTCTGCCTTGTGGGCATTTTTTTTTACGGTCTTGGATTCGCCTGTAAAGGCGTTATCACGAATGAAGCGTGGGGGCGCCATTAAATGCTAAAATACTCACACTACCAGTACTCACTTTGTTCTGTATAGTTGTAGCAGTGCTTATACTGGGGAAGGAAGACGGTAGGTTCATGTTGACGACAAACAGAGGTTTGTAAGGTGGTTTATGAGATGTTGTTGGCGGGCGTTACCCGCGATCATCGGCCCGATCGTCGGTCAACGCAACCTAATTTTGCACTGGAGAAGATGGTGCAGCGCAAGAGGACTTTATTACTGGAAACAGGACGGAACAGCAAAGGAGGGGTGGGTTCTGAATGCCGATGCGGCGTCATGGTCATAGCGACTTTCGACGCTTAATGGGTTTGGCACCCTTGTTTTTCCAACGGCGAAAAATGTAGCAGGTCCCGAAGTAGATTGTCAATATCGTGGTGGTGATTACCCAAACAATCAATAACCATGCGAACCATGTAAGCTCAATCCAGTAGGACATGGCTTGGCAAGTCGCGGCCGTGCAGGTTAGTTGTCTTGGGCTAATCTTGACATGTATCTGGCACTTTCCACAATACAACAATGAGGTTGGGAAGCAAGGTTGGCATAAATCTTCAAACTATTTATTTGGAGACAATAACTATAGTCGTCAATTTGGATGGCTTTTTCACATATTGTTAACACAATGGGAATCATCGTATGAAGATGGGATGTCATACGCCATTAAAGATGCAACAGAAAAAGCAACATTCTTCGTTTACTCGGTTCAAATAAGTGTATTATTTAATCGGAGTATTTTTCTCGATTAGTAATAATTTAGTGACTTGCCAGCCCACATTGTTGTAGGAATCCGCCCAATTTGACTGGTAGAAACCATCGTCTAATGTTCTAACAGTCTGTGCAGCGCTTGCAATTGTTCTTAGATAACTTTTATTTCATTGCCCAAAAATATGGACGATGTGCATTCAAACGGTGGTGGATCTAAACATATAGCCGAGTACTTCGCCGTTTGTGGCCTTTCTGAGAGGCCAGCTCCTTTTAATGTCTCGGAAATTCTGCTTAATAGTGAAGAGATTGTGCTCTCGGAATCAAAGTGTTTGGATTTTTCTCGGTACACGACTCCTATCATTGATATCCAGGTAGTTATGTAAAAATATAAATTGTGCTGTAGTTGGTTAACATGAGTCAGAAGGAGCATCCTCCTGATGGTTACCAACTGATCGACAAATCAATCGGTGGTTCGACTGGTTGCTTCTTACAAAGCCGTTCTGGTGATGATTTGTGTATTTGTTATCGTCGTGGATATGACATTCCACCAATTGGTGATATTGGGTAAGGTTTAACTGAGGTACACTCTGTTGATTTTCAATGAAAAGTACCCTATTCATTTCTTTTTCATTAGACTTGTGGACACCGATCAGAGATTAAAGCCAAACTCGTCAAATATCACTCATACCATTGATCATCGTCCGGCAGTCATTATGAAAAAGCGTTTTTTGCCTACCTCAAATATGTATCTGTCGTACAGTCGGCTACATAAAAACTACGGCGTTGATGAGCTGGCACTTACAGATATCTGTGTAGTATTGAAGAAGAAAGGAGAACGTTGTCCATTGGGGTACAAGGAGCTACCCCAAAAGTTAATTCATTCATTGGTAAGTGGTTCACTGATTGAGATGTTCTCCTTTCTGTTCGTTCTTTTTTATTTAAGTCCGTAATTTCACGCTTAATATTCTTGCCTGAACACTTATTCGATTCTTATCGTAATATTTATACCTCTTTAGAACTTAGCTTACGGCCGTAGACTTAAGCCCAGTGGAAACATTTTTCCGTAAATCATGAAAAGCTGTAAATTGACGTATTCCAATTTGTGTGAAATAGATACATTTTCTGTCGACAGAGCTCGCCTTGATTTACCATCATGGGGTATTTTCGTACGTCGCAGCATGGAATTAATGGGGTCTTCTAAATTTGTTCCGAAGTATGGGCACATTAGCGTTACTAATGCTTTTTTAAATTATTGACTTACAAATTAAATAAGCCAAAATTTTTGAATTGGTATAGCTATGCGCGTTTTAAAGTGTACTATGCATTTGAATTGATGCTACTATTGCTTAGCCATGATAACCAGCCTAACTTGCACATCTGCTATTGTTCCCATCATCGCTGGCAAAGTGGTGCCAAACCTCGTCTCTTTGACCTTTTTACTTCTCTAGAGAAAATAAGACCACCTGAGCTGTGCAAGAAAGCGAACATCCACTTTTAGCATATCTATTTGCCTTGATTACTATTAAAAATGGGCTAACATAGTTCTTCGGGTCTCCTATTTAAAATGCGTTTTTTTATCATTGTTATTTAGAAAACACTGTTGGTGAAATTTTGTTGATACGACAAGGCTTACCCATCATTTCTATGTGTATGTACATGTTTACTCCATGCCTAAAGTTAAACCACCTACCTATCATGTTTCATTACGGGGCATTATTTTGCGAATTCCTGCCTTTCCGCTATCATTTGTTAACATCTTTTCGTAATGCTAATGTTATGTTATTGCGCTGCGTTTTTCCATAACTTCGAACGATTTGCGTTTTCAGTTGTTGGCTCTGGCAACCAGTACGTACTTATAAACAATTGACATGGCCATGTGTTTACCTTTTAGGGATTTCGGTGGCTCAAAGCATCTAAATTTACACATTGTTCTTTTTGCCCACTGTTTACGCTTTAAATGGTCATTTTTAATGGGCATTGCAATCAATGCACTAGGTGCTATTTTCATGATATTACTGCACCTCAGGGGCTGTAATACCACTGGGAAAGTAGTTGCGTTGGGGCCAGGGCGCTGAGTGTACGGGTCACTGACGCGCTTGTGTGTTTGGAAGCAAATATTTCCTTTCCATACTGAGATGCTCCAGCGTTTTTCGGCTTATCCCAATCCGCCGCTTCCAGCTGTCGCTTAACAATAGCATCTTTTTGCGGTGTCCATGAGTGTAATAAAGGAAAAAGTTTAGAAATTATTTGTGTGCATAGAAGTTTGGTTTAGTGTGAGTGAGCACAGTAAATTAAGGTTTACGAAGTTAATAAGCTCTAATTTTAGACTCCTTGGGCTGATTTAAGTTGTGTTCATGTTGTAGATGGCAGACGATATGTATATCTGCTACAAAAAGTCCTTCGTAAAGCGGTACATCGCAACCTACCAACCGGAGGTGCTTATGTGGTACCACGTTCCCTCTGCTTCCTCCTCTCCCTCCATGGCAACAGGTACTTCTTTCTCCACTTCAAGGTGGACCGCGCCATATTTTAAGACCCATCCTATTTCCTGTTTTCTGTACTAAGGTGTGCTTTCAAAACACACTTCCATTGGTTACTGTACTTGCTTGGGAGTTGGTTGTATGTACCCCCTTTGGAGAAAACAATGTCTACTTTTTGATACAGTTAGGGTCGTGCTCCTTTCCATCACATCACTGCGTCCCCCTGTGCTCTGCCTCATACGCTATCTGGAATAACGTCCGCTGCGCTTATTCATGTCTCCTACGTGTCGAATCTATCAGATCTGTTTGAAACATATACTAAAGAAATTTGTAAATAATCGGACAGAGGAAACTTTATGGTTGACAATTGATTCACTCTCGGCTATTTTTTTTTCATTTAGATGAAATGGCGAATCAGCCTATATTTAACACGGTGGACATTGCTACTCTATCCAACTTTTGCCTACCTTGGGGTGCAGCCATCGAGTCCTGGTCGGTCGACCAAAATCCTCCTGGATCCGTTTTTTTCACCTTCGTCGTCACCAACGCCGCCTATAAAAAGGTACCTCCATCTACTCTGACGTTCCGGTAGTGGGAAGTTTACTGTCGACCTTCTTAAAGTTTGATTAACTAGTACTTTACAAGGCATCACTGCAGCTCCACGACGTGTGTGGAAGATGTTTCACTGTGGTTTAGAAGCTTTCGAATGTTTCTACATAGCTCTCTAATCCACTCTAATTTGGGCACTATTACTCGTGGTGAAACTTTTGGCGTTTGATGATGGTATGAAGTATTGAATAAGGTAGCGCTTGATTAGGAAAAAAACCCTATAATTATTGATGGCGAATTTTGATCTACCAACATTTGCATTACCTCCGCACTCGGAAATATTAATCGTACCTTGGCTTTATGTGTTTTACTGAAACTTCAGGATATGTTGACGATAAACTCTTGAAATAAGTGGAGGAAACTATTGTGTCTGATATAGATCTATGGCCCAAGAAAATATCAAAGCACCGAAATCTAAGAGAGTTTGATCTGCGTGAGGTCACAGACGCGCTTGGTGTTGTTTTGTAGCATAAATTAATGGGAAGTATTATTGATATTTGTAGTAGCTTCAACATGCCGCAGGACGTTTTTTAATACCAATTATCGTCGGTTCGGGTGAAGCGGATAGTCGTAAAAACTATTGTTAAAATCTGTTGGAATAGTTGTTTCGAGCGGCAACTTTGCGTTGTACGGTTTATTTTGGGTTGACTGTTTCTTGTTTGTAGTTTCACGGATCAGCACTGACCTTCTACGAGCCTTACGATGTGTCGCAGCTGGACCGAGATCGGTGCTACCGGCTGAATGTGGACCCAGAGCTTGTGCGAATGGAGGAGGCAGAGGAAGAAGCGGAAGGGGGAGGGCGGCAACAGGCGGCAATGGTAGTAAGGGAGGCGGAGGCGGAGGCGGAGCTTTTTACGCAAGAAGAGCTGCTGAGCATCGAGCAGCGTCAGGGCGTTTTCGCCTCTTCTCGCATCGGTGACCGCGTGCTCGGCGTCACCAAGACTCTTTGCCTCGTCTCACGATTCAATTTCGGCAACGGGCTTAAACCCTTCCTTGATTTCCTTCACTTCCGCTGTTTCAGTTCTAAGGACCAGTCGATTCCTCTCGAAAGGTAGGGTGGATGTTGCTCCTTTCTAGATATATAATGACGTCCAAAAATGCTTCAAATGTGGTAGTTATATGGAAGCAAAGGCTCTGCGATGGGAAAGTATTAGTCTGGGAAACTTTTTTTACTTCGAAATAGCGCTCTGAATGTTGGTCATAGACTGATGTCACTGACTTGAGGCACGTTATTCAGCGGGCAACCAGGAGGGCCCGCGGAGTTTTCGGCGCACCTTGCTGCTGCAGCGACTTGTAGCCTGTAGGGACGTTCAAAGTGCGTGCAATTGTTTGTGTGTGCCACAAAGCATGTGTGAGTGTCAGTCGGTGCTCTTTGTAGAGCTCGGAACCATGGTCTCCTTGCTCCGAGGCCCTACAAACTGTCGGCTGGACCTGGTGTGGTTCCAGCTTGTCTGCTTGACGAGTGCGACATGGGTTTTAAGATAGCAGGGATTTCTTATCGAGTGGTGTGTGTGTGTGTGTGTGTGACATTTGAAGAAGGCGCAGTGGCGGAACTTGTTGGTGAGGCGTGTTTTGAACAACTTGGTTGTGGTGGTGCGTTGCGTTGAAGGAGATTCTGCATTCTTGATATTAATGCGGAGTTGTGCGGTCACAATTGTTCATTGTGAAGTACTCATTCACTAGCTGAAGCCGAGGCAACAATTGCTACTGTGATCTATCTCCTCGACTCGATGCAGCAGTGTGGGCGGACGGTGTGCAAGACAAACTTCTTTCCTTTTCAGAAGTAGCCATGACTGAAGAATTGTGCGAAAGAAAGGCTTGACACATAAGACAGCGCAAGACTTTACACCCTATACGACCAAATCTCATTCCTATTTCCAACCGCTGATTTATCATTCGTGTATCTGAGATGATATTTTTATTGACACCACTTTTTCTTGGCATTTGACAGTTTTGTGACACGGACAGTTGAAAAGTAGAAGAAAAGAATAAGCGAAGATGATCAATTTTTTGCGTCCAGAGGCGAAATCTTTTTTTAAGCCACTTGGTTGTTTTCACAAGTAAGCACAAATTTAACTACCTTGTACAATCATTTAATATGTAGCTGGGTCTTTGCTAAACCAGACGTGCTTTCGACTACCTCACTCGCAGAGTCCACACTGTCATTTACACAAGAATGAATGAATATTACTACTCTCAACTGGAATCCTATTAATTTAACATTCCAGTTGTGTCCATACTGGGTGCTGGAGTAGATCTTCAGGGATTAAACGATATTAAACCGTTTTTCTCGCTTTGGAAACCAAACTATGCTCATTTTGTTGATTTCACACCGACTTTAGATACCTAGCATTTATTCTCTGCGAAATTCCCTTTCCTGATCGCCGGTCTCCCAACATCACTGTCGATGTAAGTTGTAAACTTGAATAGCCTTTTTTATCAACAACGTTTTAATTGTTGACTTCTTATCCGTTATTTTAGCTTGATGACTACCATATGCGGCTACAAATTCCTTATGGGAACCACCTTTCCAGGTCAGTGATATCACGCAGTACCTATACAAATATATCCCTTCATTCGGGTATTTCTTTGATATTCATGTGAATGGTACTTCATTTTCGCGTGCACTATTATTAATGAGACTTGTCAATTCTTAAGGCCGCGAAATAAACCGAATTGGCGTTTACAGGTCAAATAGAGAACAGGACAGGACATTTTTTATCGCTTGTTGTTGGTACCTTGTAGTTCGGGTGAGCCCTTTGCCCACCTACTGCATCGCCTCGGCTCAGAGTTGACACTGCAGCTAATGGTGCAGCTTCTCACCGAGCAGAAACTCCTCTTCGTCTCCGTCATGCCTGACCTCCTCGTGGACACCATTCAGCAGCTCATCACAGTACGTCCCTCCCACCCCACTTCTCCTCTCCTTCCCTTGCTTTTGTTACAAAGTGGCTTCCACATCGGAACAAATGCCCTTTTAATATTCTTTTTATATTTTGGTGGGAATGTCCTATAAACACGGGCATTGTGCTCTAACGTCACGGTTTTTTACAAGACCACTACTTCTTGGAAGTCACTTGTAAGAGACAAACTTTTTTTTGGGTACAGATTATTTTTCTCTACTTTTTAATTCCCTAAGTTGAGGCGATTGTTTGATAGCGTGCTTGTCATTTATGTTACTGAGCAAGTACTTTTTTGCTAACGTGATACCCCACTACCAACTAGTCCTTGATCGTTCTGCATGATTGTCAGCTCACCTTTACCACGATCAGTGTGGTTAATCACCTTGCTCGGTTTTATCAACTCAATTTTGTATGTGTGTCTTCAGCTAATCCATCCACTGCGCTGGGTGCTGGTGTACATTCCACTCATCCACATGCGGTGCATCCACGTAATTCAGTCACCTTCGCCTTATCTCATTGGGGTGGACTCGCGCTTTTTCGAGTTCTTCCAGCTGCCCTCGGCGGAGGCGGATATCAGCGTGGTGGACCTAGACACGCGCCAATTTCGTCCCGCTACTACCACTGTCGCGGGCGTCCGCATTGTGCTGCCCCGCGGGCCACAGAAGCGCCTGCGCACTGCCCTAATCCGCAACGAGGAGCGCTTGGCCGAGCTTGACTTGCGCATGCACCAAGAGGCTAAAATTGGTGTCCGAGTCCAAGAGAAATACAAAAGCCACCTGGTACGCTCCGCCAAGTCACGTTTTATTTTTTTTTCACCTTTCCTTCCTGAAGGCGTTCTTATTGGACCCACTACTTTTGGGGCTTCGAAAACCGTCAGAGTTGCTTATGATCAAGCCGGCTGAAGTTTCTTTTTTAGTCGTACCGTATTTGCAATTCATGATGCTATGTATCAATTTGGCAGTAAATTCGCGTGTCTCAGATATCAATGACCTATTTGGTCCTTCTCAAAAGTGGTAGCTTGTTTATAGTCCTAACAATGAAACACTCTTGATGGCGGGATGGGGGGCCGATGCAAGCTATTTGCATCACCAAAGGTGTTCAGTCTTACAATTCATAATTTAAGCAGTATTTCTTGGATGGCCATCATTGGATTGCTGCATTTGTTTCGTAAAGTGGGATTCGTCCGCATCTCCGACCATATTCTTTGTTCTGGAGTATTTGTTATTCATTCATGGATACTTTAAGACGTTTGCGTTTTAACCTCACTCTATCGTCTAACAAATACTTCATTTGTGTTTCTGGCTGTTTGTGCTGCATTGTTTCAAAGGCAAACGTCATAGTTGTAGGTAGTTGTAGTTCTGTACAATTTTATCTTATGATGTAAAATCATTTAATTCAATTTTACGCAAAGCTTCGCTTGTAAAACATTTTCTCCACATTCTTAAAGTGAAATGATCTCTTATTGAGACTGGAGTTTTATCCAATTACCTTAATTTTGATGGACGATTGAACCGATTAGGGAAATTCATTCATCAGACTTCTTTTTAAAATTTTTACCGTAGTCCCTTCTGGGCGCAAATGTACGTCGAGCGTGCTACACTTTCATGACGGAGTTGTTGCAGGACTACCGCAAATTTCTTTTACCTGTCATCTTCAAAGACAGGGAACTCCTCTTCGACTCTGAGGGTGCGTAAAGTTATCCCTTAAAACTGCTGTGCGAGAGTTGACAACATAGGGGCTTTGTGTTACTTGTTGTGATTCATGGTTGCATTCTCGATCACTCGCACCTTGTCCAACATGTGTTTTTCTGCCTCTGTGCGGAATGTGGCCTCACATTAGTCAGAACTGTCCTTGAACTCGACATATTTCGATTTTTGTATGCCGAAATGAGATGTAAGTAGAGTTGTCATTCCGGACCTTTCATCTCCAAGGCATGCGTGAAATTCGCTTACGTAGAAGTTTAATGATTTGCATCCATTTTAAGACAAATCAGGTCACTCTGTATGTTTCACTGTTTTTACTGCCATTGAATGATCACCAACTGTGTCCCAGTTAATAGTTGTTTGTAAGAAAGTGATTACCATTAGTAAACACTAAGCAAAACTTGAGATCACTTTGTTCAATGGTGTTTCACCGATTTGCCCATATGTGTGCGTACGTGTAGGGTTTGTGAAGCACACGGCGGATCGCGCATCAAATGCCTTTTACGCGACGCTGGTGGGGACACAGTTGTGGGCGGATTTTGTACGGGATCTCAACTGCATCAGCGAGCGCACTGCTGAGCTGGAAGCCTTCGATAACGCCATCGCCCATCTTAGCCTCACTCGCTACCAATCAAAGACGAAAGGCGGCAGTAGCCGTGGAATCGGTGGCAGCGGTGATATCGAAGGAGGTGGAGGCGGTGAGACGTGTTCTCAGGTCTCCAGCGGCTCGGGTGGCGACGCTGGCAGCGCTGCCTCCGCACCTCTTAACGGTTTCTCCGCTTCTCCCAGGGACAGCCTCAGTGGTACCGATGGCAGCAGTCTCAGTGGCCGCCCTTTGCCTCCTAGGTCTTTGTTTCTACCTATTTCTGTGTTATTCCCAATATGCTTGCCTAATTCTTCCAAAAAAATTTTTAAAGGAGTGAGGAGAGCTTTTAGTGTCCTCTCTATCTTTAACTTAGTGAATTAGCTAATGCTATCACAATATCAATAATAACAATGCCATGTTCTTAAGTGCACCGTTTTTTCGCATTTGCCATAGTGAATTTGGGTCTTGAAATTCCCTCAGAGAGTGGAAAAGGTTGTTTGTGATGTAGATTTCAGTCAATGAATAAAATCGCAAAATACACCCATTTTCACCTCTTTTCGATCACATCGGTAAATTAGTTAAGACTTACCTTCTTATACCAACAACTGAGCTGTCAGAAATCGCCTTTTGTGTTTTACTAAACTATCCTCAATTGTGTATGCAACCGCATTGACATTTTCACTACTCCTCTCCCGCTTAGTGAGTGTCCTAGAATAATCGGGTCACCATCAGGCTTGCTTGAACTGGATCCACTGTGCTCAGATCTGCCGTTAAATGACTTTACCTGGACTCGGCGGGATCATTTCCCCGAGACTGTCAATACGTCCTTGTTGGACGAACTTTGCACTCGTCTTCGGCATAATGGTGCTACTGCTGCTGCTACTATCCCGTCGAGGACGATGGTGACAAAAATGGAGACAGGGGAGGAAGAGTTGATATTCCGCCTCGTTGACGATACTGACGTGATGTTAGGCGATGGCGAGGACTTTTGTCCCTCATTGCACCACACCCCTCCTCCCCTCCCTTTCGTTCACGGTAATGGGGTCCCAAAGGCTTTGGGTGTGGCGCAGCTGAATTCCCTACTCAAGCGTACCCTGCAGGAGACTACGGACTGCCTCATTGCCGGTCAGTCTCACAAGACCTTCCCCAAATATTAACCTGTGCTGTTAGGACGCGTTTTTGATATAAAGTGGATGTGGTAAAAGTGGAATCCATTGGTCCCGTTGCTGTTATTGCTACAGCGACAAAACGGCGCAATGCGGGCGGCGTGGCGTGGGCGGGGCAGTTGCTGTCGGAGGTCTACTCGCTTTGGTTCCTTCTCCTGCCCGCCTTCATCGCCTCTCTACAACAACACTGTGGTAGGGGCAACAATGGCGACGGTATCTGTCTGGAGGCTCGGCACTTCCTCTTTCACGTCGTAGACGTCTTCTTGCGTCTTTGGGACTCACCACTCCAACCCGTTGATCAGGTCAGATACACATCTTTATGTTTCACTGATGCTTTTCTCCAAGCAGTAAATGCCAAAGTGCCCCACTTCCCATTGCCATAGACAAAAAAGTCAAATAATTAAGCTGCACGGCACCGGGTACTCACTAGATGGACTTAAGTCTTCACTATTTGCATTTTATTTGGTTTTTGACCTTGGATAGTATTGAAGTGACAATAAGAAATCGATCACTGTGATCGTTTAGTTCTAATTTGAATTTTTCTAAGGTAGTATTTTGAGCAGTATTGACAGCTGATGATTTGACTATGTTGGAACGAGTGTAGCCAATGGTAGACATCGAAGGTGGTTGTCTGTATCTAGGTCTATGTGCGCGTGCTAATTGCGTTGCTTTATGAATACGGCACCTCAGATCAGGGCGTGGTCAGCTTCTGGAGCAGCCGACCCTTGAATGCACCCTCCTACGCTATGGCTAATCAGGTAGGCTCGTCTTGATTAGTATCTCTGACCTCCAATTCACTTACAAATGCGCAAAATAACCCATGCTCTCCGCCTCTCAGCTGCAACGCGATCTTGGCCACAAGTTGACTTCATCTGAAAGTGCAGAAGATGGTGCTGAGTCAGGCATAGGTATATCAACAACTTTATCCAGAGAAGGTGCGTTTTGTTTCTGCCAAATTATGTATATGAAGAATAGCAAGCCTTCCACAAACATCATTTTGCAAGACAATCAAAAAGGGTGGGAAAGTTACTAATAATGTGCGGCTTAAGGTCTTGAAGTGAGTCCCGAAGAAATTTTATCGCTTTAAGAAGCAGATGTCACCTTTGTGTTCCAGAAAAGCATGGGCTTTTTCATTGTTCGCTCATAAAACCACCTTTTCAACGAATGCATACATCTTTCTTTCTCTCCTAGTGGCTGATCCACCGTGCTTAGTTCCACAGGCTCTATCGACGCCTATTCAGAATTGTGATGCCTCCTCTCCACGCCATCCATGCGAGAGCCAACCGTCTTTCAGCATCGGAGACGATGAAGGAGACGGCGGTGATAATGGCGATGGTGACGGTCCTAGCAAAAGCAGTAGCAATTTTAACCTTGGCAATAGCCAACTAGTTGGATCTATGGACAGAATTTCCATCGGCGATGGCAACCGAAAGACATCCGGCTTACTCGAGCCCGTGGAACAGGCTCATTTCTCTAAAAAGTGAGCCATAAATTAATCGCATACCGATTTTGTTTTTGTGCTCCCTTCTCTCTTTTCTTCGCCTTTTGTCCCTCTGCAGAGGCTGGAAGTCGTTTGCACAGGCGTCAATGCGGAAACTGGCCTCCTTTAGGGTAGAATACGTGAATCCGGATGTAATCACCTTGGAGCAGTCACCGTCGACGTCACCATCGCCACAGCCGTCGCAACACTTGCGCAGTCGCAGCGTGAGCACCACTGCCAACAAGTCCATTGGCTATTTTAGCCTCTTTGGTCAACCAGGTAACGGAACGAGGCTGCCTCGCAACATGCGGCCTTGGGCCGTCGCCCCCATCTCCGCCTCCGTCTCCTCCATCACCACCGCCGCTTCTGGTACTGTTTCTGTGCCCGTCAACTCCAGTGTCTCTGCTGATGAGGCTTTGAGGGTAGGTCTTTCTTACTTTTCTCCCATCTCTGGCCATCTTGCTTGCGCTTGGTTGTGGATCAAGAGTGTTAAGTCTAAGTGATAAGTATGTTACATAAGACAAAGCTTGTTATTTTCCTTGTACTATATTCTCCGGGCGCCCATCAAATTAACAATTAGATGAGAATGGATGTTTTTCTGTAAGATTTTGCTCTACTAAAATGTTGGAATATTTCGTTTACACGGGTAACGGTTTCCAGTATACATATGTCATTATTTTAGAAATCCCACATGTATTTTGATGTTCGGATCGTCACTTAGTTCGTAAAATCATGTGGGCGTGATTGTGCACTTCAGCAGGGTGCAGATGCAACGCAGATGTCACTGCAATCCTCGACGTCCTCGTCGTTATGGTTCCAGCTGCTGCAGCGCCACCTATCGGTCTCTGCGATGTCTCCAACGCCCTCTCGACGCGCTGAAACTAGCGACACGCCGCGCGGTTCCATCACCTCCAATGAGGAGGGCGTCGTAAACACCACTGTAGCCGCATCTCCCCTCGCGTTCTCCTTCGACTCCCAGCTTGCTGGTACGCTAAATTTAAACCATACTTCTATAGCTCAATATCTGCCGGTGTATGCTCAATCTTCTCTTGGAACTGACCACATAACATTCTCGCATTTTGTGCAGCTTTTGTAATGTAATGGCTTCAATTAACATGTGCTACTTTGAATCTAAATCACAATTTTTGTAACAGACGAACATCATGAGCGATGGCAGTTATAATGTTTGAGGACTGTATTTATTAGTCACTTATTGGCATTAGTGTTGGTAATGACGATAGATGTGGCGATGTGATACTCATTGTTAAAATGAAGATCGTGTTCGCTTAGTATTCATTTCTTCCCATTTTCCAACATTTTTAGTTATATCCACACCGACAGTAACGGCTATTAGTTGCAGCACGACTAATTACCTTCAATGTATGATTTAAATTCATGCGTTAAATTACGTAGGCTCTTCCTTTGTTTGTGCTCTATTCAGTGCTGTCCTACCAGCCAACCTCGTGGTACACCATAGCAGGGCCGCTGGCGGTAGGATCAGTGGGGGATCGTGTGTGCCTGGCAAACCCACTAGTGATGAAACTATCACCATCATCACTCCAGTCCTCCGCTACCGCTCCCGCCTACGCTGCCATGCGGCGGCATCGTTCGCGCTCCTCCTCACTTGTAAGAGCACGTCGTGATGTTGGTCTTAAGCATTCGCCCTCAGCGTCCTTTCCCCTTCTCAGTCTCAGTAAGTCCACTGCGCATTGCCGCCATTGTCTGCCGACTATCTGATTGACGGAGAGTAAAACTAATGCCTTTTACTGAAGCATCGGAGGAGTTGGTGCAGGCTCTTGCACGCTCAGAATCACCGAGGTCCTCGAAACCACCGCCAGCGCTACGGAGACCTCCCTCTACGACGACGAGGCCATCTACAGGGCCTGTGACAGTGTCGCGAGTGCAGGAGCTGCGAGTCATTTTCAATACCTGCACGCCATGTGCATCCTGCTCACGTCTCTTCTACGACGAGGAGATAATGGCGATGTGGGTGGCAGCGGGTGACCCACCGTACACCGGTCTCTCCTGCAGCAGTTGCCGCCATTCCCTCATGCCCAGGCTCATAGTGCGCACCATTGCCATCCTCGAGATCACTCCTTCCACCAACGCTGCCACGACTCCTCTTTCGCACGGCCTCATTGAACTGTCGGTTCCTTTCCTCAGCCCTCTGGTCCTGCGCCGTCAGCTGGAGGCGGTGGTCGATAGCGGCGTTGGAGGTGGAAGTGGGAGCAGCAAAGGCTGCACAGAGAGCATGGCGGTGCAGGCGCTGTCATCGGCCGGTCTGCTGGGTCACCGACGCGGCAGGGTGTTGCTGTGGAACCTAGTATACCTGCTTCATCGCGCTGGCCTGCCCACCCATCTGCTCGATGCTTACCCAGCCTGGCTTATGGATGCCCAGGCCGAGGCGCGTCGGTTGGGCGGTGGACGGCGGGTCCTCCTCGGTGGCTCGCTCACCATCGCCCGCGCTCTTTCGGTCGGTTGAGCTAGCTGGTCCCAAAAATCTGCTGTTGTAGCTGTAGTGGTTTTTTTTTTCAAGTCTAATTCTTGTATTGAAATTCAGATATTGTCTTGGAGAGTGTTGCTATTCCTGTGACCGCGAGTTAATTCCAATTTTCTAAATTCACATTTTGATTTATAATTATTGGTCTTCCAAGGCATCGCTTGTTTATTTCTGGAATCCAATGCGTAAAATTATAGCTACTTACAAATGTGAGTTTTCACGTGGAAAGATGCTAAAAAGAGACTCCTTAAAATTATGAAATGAGTATTCGGTAATGGGAAGATTTGGACGACGCACTGCGTACAGCACTTAAGAAGTTCCGTTCTGGTAAGCATCCCTGCCTTGCAAGTGAGTCACATGGATCACTCGACCAACGGAACAATTCATCGCTGTTCGAATAATGAAACTGTGCTGGCAGTGTGGGCGCATATTTTGCTAATTTGTTCGACAATCGTCTCGCTGCATGTTTGAGGGAGCATAAAAACACCCACAAAACCATATAAGTGTACTGGTGCTAAGTGCTGACGATAAGTCTTTCCTTTCTCACACTTCTCCCTACCCTCTCCAGGAGGTGACTTTGAGTCCCGACTTGCCGGTGTGTCTGGTGGCGAGGTGGGTAGCTTTTCCGCGCAAGACTGCTGCTGGCAAGGAAGCGCCGATGCTCTACCGTCTGTGGGATAATACTCACCCCGCCTGCTGCCGTAAGTACATCTTTGCGAGCTTTCCTCTTTCACGCGCCTGTCATTAATTCACGAAAATTATCCAATTGAAAACTTTGCGTTGTAAAAGGCAGTTGCGTCGAAAGGGCTTTTTGTGGTTTGTACGCTTTATGCGTCGTATATGCATATTGCTATTATGTGATAATGAATCTTCAGTGGAGCGCTTTCCTCTCTCAACTAACTTGCAACTTCTTACGTATGTGGGCTTACTCTTTCCCTCTCAAAGATTTTTATGATATTTCTACTTTAATAGTGGATCATTTAAAGTCGAATATTGATGTTAGATTTGTTGAAACGTTGAGCCCTGGTTCTTTGAGTGCGCATTAGAACTCATTATTGGCTGAGGAATCGTTTGTAACTCTACAGTGAGTCCGTCGAGTAGTGTGGCGGATTTGACAGCACCGCCAGGCAGAGGGGAGGAGCGGCAGGAGTGCGCGCTGGAGGAGATCGTGCAAATGGCAGGCGACGCACTGACTTATGAGAATGTCGGTGGGGCCATTTCCGCTGTTCGCTCTCTCAAACGCACCGCCATCCAATCCGTCCACCGCGAGCTGCTCCTCCTCTATGCACGCATCCATGGCACTTCTTGGCAACAACTCAGTGAGTCTATGGGATGCAAAATCACGTCAATTTTTGTGGCTGTGTGCTCTCAACATCCTCTTTTCTCTCTTATATTCCTGCCAGACAAATTCGACGCTGGATACATCGCTTACTTGTTAGATGAGATGCAACAAGCGGGTGTTCAACAGCAGGAGCAGCTGCAGCGGTGGCGCGCAAACGACGAAATGCCTCCCTCAGCTACTGCGCTGGCTTGTCGATGCATCTTCAGAAACCTCACACTCACTTAGACCACCCCTTGCCACGGTAGCGTTAGCCCTCCCTTCATCCCTGACCTCACTTATAGTGGGTGCACTTCTGTGCGCACGTGGTCGAATTGTAACAGTTATTGTTCTCGGTGACCGCTTTGTACAGATAATGCTGTAGTCATCGTGAATGTCTTAGGTGGCCCCGTGAGAGGTTGGTCGCTCCCGACTGGATTGGGTCTTGCTCGTGAGCCGCGGGTGGGTCAGTCGAGGGACGCGGAGCACTTTGCCACATTCTGTAGTAGCTCTGTGCAAATTTTTCAACAGATTAGGCTTGTGAGATAATGAGGGTACTCCGAATGATCTCGATAAAGCGTTAAGGTGCTGCGATAGACCGAAGGTATCAAAGAGCTTGTGCTCCTTAGATTTATGCAAACGTAGGCTTTAAAAAAGTAAAAGTAATGTGGCAATCATCAATACTAAAATATAAGTTTTTTATTTGTTTTCTTGCCTATATGTTTGTTTTTCTATAGAAAGAATGATTATAAGGATTCCGGTACCGAATTAAAACGTGGGTTGACGTAAAGGTTGCACAGCTTGCTCCTCGACTATCGAGTTTGTAGTCAGTAAAGTGGACTTATTTGAAGCACCACACATAGGATAATTTTGTAAGTTGGGTGTAAGCGATGCGTAGTAGTGTCATTTTGAACATACTGTTTTTTCATCTAGGTGGGTATACAAGATACTGATAAATATTTTTAAGAAGAGTTTTTATTCTCTTTTGGACAGGTGCTTGTGTGCAACGGTAATGCTTTATGAAAGAAAAGCCAAAATGGCTGGAGTCGGACTGAAAACAACTCCTAAAGGACCTATTTATAATGAGATATTATACTTTACTTTAATTGCAGCTATTCGAATGCAATAAGCTAACTATAGAAGTACCATAGTTCTTTACAATTTACTTTTCAAATGAGTGAAAATGGTGTAATTTTCTGGTTTAAATGCACTTTCTAGGTGTTGCAAAGATACAATGCTTCACACTTATCTTCTCACAATATCAGCTGGATTTCTTTGCAATTTTCTGGCAACAATTTTACCATTTTGGTTTGCAAGATATCCCAGTGCCAAAGCTAGATTTTTATGTCTTGGATTATGGGAAATATGTTTGGAAGACTTCATATCGCCCTTAGATCAACAACGTCTGTACAATGGCTGTTTTTACATTTTTGATAGCAAAATTCGCCCGCTACGGCCGTTCTTCTTTGCGAGTATCTCTCATAATCTGTAATAATTAATCTATTAAGCTTGGTTACATGTCGCTCAGGCTCTTCAAATTTTAAGCATGATTGCACACGCGGCTCTTGTTGGGAATGGATTTGGAATGCTCTTTAATGTGTTTGACAAGCATAGCCCACGAATAGTGTTCACCTCTATCTGCCTCCTCGTACTGAACTGTGAGTAGCGTCGTTGTGCCTTTATCCTTTGACCCATAAACTACCCTTATTTATTCTGTTGTCTTGGGGTTGGATGGGTCATGTAGGTTGGGTGTTGCTGACGCAACTGGGCGTAGTGGGGGTGAATCTTGACCTTGAAAAGAAACAGGCGGAAATTAGTGGCGCGAGTATGTGGATATCAGAGGCCGACCAGTCTTGTCTCTCCTGGTCCTTCGGATTGTCTGCCTTTGTTCTCTTCTTCGTCCTCATTGCACTGAACATCCTCGTCTGGTGTGTTTATCCTAGAAAGTGAGCTCCTCATTTCACTTTTGACGCGTTCTGTCTAACAGTCCCCTAGAACGCTGCTTGAGAGCATTTTGAATTTTAATAAAAGAAATTGACTTGCTTGGCTGCCTAATTATGCGAAAAAATTCAAATGTTCCAACTCAAGAAGCCTTTCTAGTGCGAAGCTGTGGTGTGTGTCGATTAAGCGGATAGATGATGTTTGAGCACTTTTAAAGCTTAAAAACATCGCCATTCATGATGTAAGATGTTTTTCAACTTCCTGTGCAAACTATTTTTATTTAAATATGTACATGAATGTGAGAAAATCAAAAAACACTTGAATTAGGTTCGAACAAAGCAAATAGGTATTTACAGTAAGAATACAAATGACTCATTGGTTTTTGGATACGGAGAGGCATGTAAACTCGTAATTTGAGATTTTACCGGTGAGCTTTATGACCTACGAAAAGATGACGATGTCGAAACTGCATTTTACTTTTACCACAGTAAAGTAGGTCTAGTAGGAACTTATTTGCATGCTATGCATATAGCCTTGTGACGGATGGCTCACCCTGCAAATGACTCGCTTATTTCGCAATTATTTGTCAGTATACCCTGTACCGTACCTTAGGAATGGTTACGCCCTTGCTACTATAGTAACGTCAATGTATTTTTGTCCCTGCATGCTACATGAAAATGGAGGAAGAAAGTGATACAAATTTGTTGGAAAAGTTTGTATGCCACTGGGAGGTGGAGTGAGGTTCAGTGCAGCAGTGCTTATAACATTCCGCTCTCTGTTAGGGAGAGAGGCGGTCGTCTACTGACGCAGGCATGGACCTGGCCTACCATCAGGGATTTACCATGCTGCCTCGCACGGAACTCCGTCCACCGACGCGGCGCTCTGCAAGAGGCTCAAAGAGCCGGAAGTCTCAGTACGCGGCAGCAGATCGAGTTAACGCAACCCCATCATCAGACAGCTGATCCTTCTCGAGACACTGACCTCTCCTCCCTGGACGTTGCCACATACGATCCGCGCTCCGCAGATGTAGTGGTAGTCATCCTCTTACCTCTTTTTTGTTGTTGGCACTTTACAGAGATAGGTCCACATTTTAAAAGGACCATTAATTGGCATAACTGAAAGATGGAGCAATCTTAAGCTTTGCTTTGAAGAGTAGGGAGAACATGAATGAAAGTGCTCCCATCTCTGCGACTGAAATATCGGCGGCAGGGGTGAAGTTGGACGAATATGTGAAGTATGAGAAGGGGGCCGCTTTGTACCAGCCTGATCCCCGAACATCCATTGATGTGAATTTCAGCCGCGTGTCCAGTCGTATGTCTAGTGTACGCTCCTCCATTAGGGTAAGTTACTTCAGCCTTATTACTGAATTAAAATTACATAAAAACCACTCTTTATTCAAACACCGGTGGATTACCGGTTAAGCAAAATAACCTTAAAGTGGGCGAATCCCGCGGTTTTTTATTCACTTTTTCGACATTTAAGTATAGCACCTACTCATTGTTAATTTAGCAAGGCTCAAGTGGATTCGTTAGGGCGCGAAATCGTACCTACATTATAAAGAAAGGTCAAAATCAGCCTCTACAACAGACGGTCGTAAGTCTTTTACTTTGTATCTTGAGGACTAATTCATGTTTAATAGTAGCGAAAGTAAAGTAGTACGTTTCCGAATCATTTGCAGTTAAAGTCATACTTCAATGATCATTTAGCCGTTGGTTTTTAAAAGGCCGTTGTGCATGGAACGACAATCATTTTAGCCCTACAAAACCCTATCAGGATAGAGCGAGGACGCAGTCGAATTGAATTCTCTTTTGCATTATGCTATAGGCAGAGCTTAAATGTGTGTAGGGAGGGTTAAACAATAAGGGCAAATACGTGCCCAGGGCCATTATTAGCATCCCGGTACTACCTGATTAGGTATATTGCATGAGGACACGTTCAAATGGCATGACAGCACACGCTGCCACTGTCCACATTATAAAGTATGGAAAAAACAGGACCGTAAGCAACTTTTAGCGTTTCTCCATTTCTAATACACGTTATCACCTTGTGCTTGTAGATCCCAAAACCGCTAATCCAGGGAAAAATGCACTGATTAGAGACTATAAAACCACATTCATCATATTGTCTCATGTTTTATTGAACTAAAAATTTGTTGGCTATGCTGGCTTTTTGGATTGCTATGGGGATAACCTATGAGACATTGAGCACGATAGCACAAGAAGAAATTACTTGGTTTTTCGTAGATCCGAATCGCTTCACAAAAACTCACTAAGCTCTTCAAAGAGGGTGACCAGGTTTCAGTGTTTAGAGTCGTGATGAACCCTCTTGAAATCGCAGGTATACGAATACCATATGCTTCAGTTGTCAGTACTAAGATGCGGTTCAAGGAAATTGCTAATGCGACTATGCTACGTGTGACTATAGTAAAGCGCTGAGAGATGATGACTCCAAGGTGCTGATACCGTTTTCAGGCTCACAGAGATTGAACACAATCAACGTAAAAATCAGAGGTGTTAAACTTCTATACGAAATGCAAAACCATTGAATGTAGTTACAATATTATGCGGACAACGCAAGAATCTAAATCAAAAAATGGTTTGACGAAGGACAATGGATGAATTCAGCATGGTTGGCCGGAACCGAATTATGCCGACCACGTATCTGACTATAGAGTTATAGTAAAATAGTAAAGCAAGAGTTGTGAAATCAGGCAAGTTGTTGATCACCACAGTAGTTTGTGTTGACAAAGTGACTAAGAGCGATCTTATGGCACATTTCCGTGACCGTGGACTAAGAGTTTTAACGATTATCGCGTCAAGTGTATACGAGTATGTGCGTGCACACAGCGCATCAAAGATTTAAAAATTTACTACAGGACTAATACAACCCACCAACCTTCAGGTAATGCTTTTTACTCGTGATTCAAGATCTTCAAGTCACTACATTCAGTGGGAGTTCCACTTGCCGCAGGCATGACAAGGGAGTTTCACAAACCCTGGCTCTCATTCACGAGTGCCAAAACAAAAGAGGTCAATTTACATCACTCAGTGGGAACTTATGTAATCTCGCCCTTCCTAATAAAAATGCATCTTTCAGACCACATAGGATGCAAAGTTTTAGAAAAGAAATAAACACGAACACAGGCACGTTTAGCCTTGCAAATTTAGTGGATACCTTCGTATGGGCCTTGATGCCCAGGATTACAACCCAAGACCATTATTTCAGTTTCTCGGCTGAACTGCATGATACAAAGCTAGACCGCCTTACAGAAAACGCTAAATCCAGTGTATATTTAAAAAATGAAGCTTCACACTTAAAATAATAGAAGAGTGATGTTGAAGTAAACATTCAGCATCTTGAAAATACCAGTACAGTCGTGACGAGAGGCGGAGAGATGGTTCACAACAGAGCCTCCAGAGCTGCTTTGCGTTTTGCGCAAGTAGCAGGAAAGGAGAGCATTTGGAAGATCGATGCCAGCCACGGCGGCAGCACACCAAAGGCAAGGAGGCCAGCCATGTTGAAGAGGAGGGTCTCACCATCCGAGGCGAAATTCTCATCGCCCTGCAGCGAGTTAACATCGTAGCCAGGTAGACGGTAGTTGGACAGGTAGGCAGGGTTGCAATCATCCAGTCGGAGTTCGAATGGCTGAGAACTATTGTCTAACCGGTCTATTGACACGGGTATGAAGTAATAGCCTGAGATGACAAAAGAAAAGCAAGAAGAAAAAGAAAGGCGAGAATAATCACTATCACTACCAAGAATATTAGTAAGCTCACTTGCAGGCTCCCGATGGAGGATGGTGCAATCCTTGAGGCCTCGTTGTATCTGATACCTCAGGACTGGGGGGAGGTCGGTGCTCAGAGCTGCTCTGACAACATTGCGCAGTACCTCCATAGCTCTGCGAGAAGATGGAAGTATCCGCATCCAAAAGGCATTCCAGTTACGCTTCCAGCCGTAGTATTCGATGCCTCCGATTAGAATGTCGTGGTCAGCCATGGCGACAGCTGCATCGAGAGCCAGGGAGGCATTGCGTCGCCATGAGACGATGAGTTGGCGTTGACAGAGCAGCATGAGTATGGTGATGCCGGCGTAGCCGAGGAGACGAAAAGGCCGCAAACAGGTGCTGGATAGACAAAGGAGGCGGTTGAGCACGTAGCACACCTGGTAGGCGAGATAGAGGCTGACTACGAGGGAGAGACAGGCGACACGTGACGCGAGGCGCGGCGGGAGGAAGGGGGAGGAAAGTTCAACCTCACTAGTCCCACACGCCATCAACGTCCTAGAGCCTAAGAGACTGGCCACCTCACGAGCGATGAGGAACTCCAGTGCCGCGTCCGAGAGACACATCAGCTGAAGACGACGCATACCCTGAGCAGAGTAGGCTGTGTAGGGGAATAGAGGCCTAAAAAAAGGGGTATTTGAAAAGATTATGGAGCCAATTACTACTAAATGTAAGTCATTGCAGTGCGTGTGGAAGACTATGCAAAAGATGCGACAACAAGATCAAACCAGCACGTATGAACGCAAAGGATATTGAAAGGCGAACAATGATTCTTTACAGACTAATGAATAATCGAATGGTAGTCCCTCACTTCAATCTTAAGTATGCGCTCCAAAAATAGCTTGAAAAAAAGATGGAACTGAGCTTCATTCCATATTTTATTTACAAGTAAATACTGGGACTGGAACAGAAGGAATAAATTTGGAAAGTGATGGTAAAAAAATGGGCCTAAGGACGGAAACTCCTACGTTAGGATTTGCTAGAGATAATTATAGACAGGACTGGAAAGACGACTTACGAGGCGAAGTTCATATCCTCAAGCGGAATATCAAAGGGGTCCTCATAGGCACAAAAGTAGGGCAAACCGATGAATGCGTAATCGTTGAAGCTCTTGACATGGTCATCGCTCAAGATACCCAGTGCCACGGCTTCGCCATTTTTCGTAAAGAAGAAGTCCACTTTGTTGCGAATTGTCCCAGGCACTTGGAGCTTTGTGAATACCTCAAGAAGCCAAAAAATAAAGACTTTGTTTGTGTTTTATTGCACCGCATGATTAAATAGTTCCAAATGAAGACTTTCCAAGAGCAAGATAGCTAAGAATAGGTATGCAAAGATGAAATAAATCTTAAGTTGAGCGGGATCGAATCAAAATTGTCAGTAATAGGAACCCGAATAATCTTTTTACAACATGCAACTACAAAGTCAATTAAATATGTCAGTAATTAGGACAAGCGGCAGAATACCGAGTTGGCGATACGACTAATACGTTCAGTGGGTCTTATCTCCCGTCCGCGCTCCATTTTGGCGTGATGCCATCGGACGAAAACCTCCAGATAAGGCTGCATGAAGCAGGAGGTGACCACTCCACTTACAAGACCGACGGCAGCAAAAATTTGTGATTTACCAAGGAACAAATTCATGGACCTGAAATATGAAAAAAATCTCATGTTTAAACGAAAAACACAGTGAGAAATAGCATGGAGAGCCTTTCATGGGAGAAAATTAAATGCGAACAGAGCCCCTGAGCCGTGGATAATACTCGATTCAGCTTATTAAGTTCAGCACTCATGCTACCCAGCAGCTAGGCGACCTAAAACATCTTACCTTCCAAATTATAAAGATATAATTTTGGTTCGCATGTGTTTATTGTTCAAAAGCATATTCCACATACATTATTCCGGAAGTCAAACAGGAAAATACAAACGCGCCGACTGTAATTCTGCATCTACTGTGCCTTAAGCCCTCAGTTCCTAATTTTTCACTTCGTCTCAAAATCAACTTCTTGTTATGTAATGTGATACCTTAACGACACAGCGGCTAAACACCAAACTAAGGCCGACCCTCGGACTGCGGCCTCAAAATATTGCTCAAGTTCTTGCAAAATAAAATAATCAGTAAAACAATACTTAAATACTGCACAAGGGTTCCGTAAATAGGCACCTTGAAAAGCAAGTAAATTTTAGTCTTTTAGTTTTTAATGTGTGCGACTATTTGTTAGATCCTCACAATATATATTATTATGTAACAGCATTAAGCTGACTTGCGTCTTCACCTCCAATACTGATGAGTCGCCACCTAAATTTTCTCAAACGCTATCAAATGACCTGATCATAACTCTACAATTGACTTCGTGCGATCTGAATGCGTATTAAAATGCCATTTAATACTTGCTACTTTCAGAATTTTCGCTGAATTGTAATTAACCGAAGTGGTATGGAAGGTCATATAATAATGACGTATGAATGGGCTAGGAGGCTGATGGAACAGTGTTCTGAGTCTCCCCTAAAATCGCAAAAGTCTGTAGCATTGCAGAATGGCCAGAGGCAACCAGCGTGACAGAGAGCGCATGCCGCAGAATGGGGACGCAATCCGTGGGGGCTGAAGCACCTGCACCACCAAACGCGCAGTCAAAATACCCAGACCCTCCAGACAGACAAACCGCCTAGACAGTGGCAGTACCCCCCATGCTGAACCATAACAGTGTACAGCTACAGGGGCCGCCTGACAAACAAAACCATACTTCCACTTCACGCGTGTGGTGAAAAATTGACCCCACTGGGGAAACATGAGACGCACCCATACCACTTTAAAAGCACAATAAAGGGTAGACTTCTAGCACACTTTTTCAACAATGAATATGCCAAATAACCATGGGATTCCATGAGGCAAGACAGCCCAAATCGAACAATAAGTAAGACATTAGATTACAGGAAAATAGAAAGGCGAAGAGAGAAGCTATCACAATTGGTTCAATCAAGACTGCACAGACAACCAGCTAACTCGTCAGCCAGTTGGGGACCCAATGTGATGGCCTCGGTGTGGACTCGGAGGGCGCCCGAGGAACTCGGGACAGAGGGCAGCGTCACCTCGACAAGGCAACAGGTGGTCTCACCCTCACCTCCACTCACCGTGACACCAGCCAGTCGCAGAATGCGCGTTGTTGTGATGGAGGCATCAGTAGCGGCAAAGAAATCTGCACCGGAATCATCGACAGTGGTTTTGCTGAAGGCCCCTATCAGACCCAAATTTGCCCTCTGTAGCAGCCGTTTCGCCAGTTGCACCAAATCAACATCTTCGGTGGGGCAGGTAAGTAATTTTGTGGTATCATGCATACCACGAAGAGCGCCTTATTGGTCGCATAAAAAGACGGAGCATAAACTGATGGTATGACATGCCAAGAATAAAGAATTTAAATACCTGGTAATAGCAAAAAGCGAAGCAGTATCAACACCGGTCTAATACCCACCCCAACGTATCCAAATTGCAAGAAAAGCATCAGATTCTGATCATTTCGGTTCCTATTTACTCAAGATGAGTCATTGCAAGACCGCGCTGTTTCTTACAAAACTCCATCGTTGTTTCAAACAATCAGTAAGAAGAAGATCCTAGTAACGTAACACAATTTGACTTTTGCAGCAATTCAGAAAAAATCAGTAATTTTGAAGTAGAAACACGCATACCTTTTATTGAAAAGGTATTAGGTATTTTTGAACCAAAATTTTTATTCTATAGTTATGGTTTTATTGGATAGATAAAACAAAAGCGTCCACATATATAAGAAAGCATTTTTGAGATAGGGCCTTTTATGCGGAATAAAATGTGCAAGTTGGGCTAACTTTAAAGTTAATCGAAGTATCAAACCAAAACTTACTCTGTTTTGAAACGAATTCACGGACGTTGATGTCGAGAGGCTGGAAAAGCTCCCCAACAGGTGGTTTAATTTCGAGATTAAGCACCTGATCCAGCGCCTGCCTTTTGTCACAGTTTCGCTCCTGCTCCCGTTCGTCCGAGTTAAACTGGTACCTCAGACAAAAGCGCAGAGGCTGTGTGGAGTTGCAAAAGTCCACTCCCATGAACACGCTGGTACTTGCGCCCACCTCTAAGGATTCTGATGACAAGGACGCACTTTGCAATCACGTAAGATACTACCAGGTTGTAGAAGACTGGAGTAGGGGACCCACCAACTTCGGTGAAGAGCTGAACGATGTGTGCCAAGTTGCCAGCTGGGCGAGGGGACGAAAAAACAATTGCAGTGGCATCGGAGGTGTCAAGGCGCAGTCGATGGAGGCGGTGTGGAGGTGCGATGCTGCGGTTGGTGAGGCGTAGTTCGACGTTCGTCTGAAGTGGACCGAACACCGAGACGGTGCGGGCGAAACGTGCCTCCACCAACAAGGGCTCTGCATAGGCGGGCGTAACAAAGAACCACGCGGGCGATGACAACTCGTGGGAAGGAATGCTCAACTGCATGTGGCATGAATACGATGCAGTAAGAAGCAGGCAAAGGACATAATCGGCAGTCCTGTGAAACCTCGATGACCTCACCTCGATTGTCACTTCACCCGGAAGCATGGCATCTGTCGGAGGGCAGGTTTGGGAAGAAGGAGTAACCACATTAGGGATAAGTGGATGCCCCAACGATGGCCAATTACCTCGAGCACTGCCCACCATTGGCATCGACAGAGCTGTAACGACGGCAGAATAAAAGCTCATCTGGATGTCACCTTAGCAACCAAATTTGCATAAATATTTGAACATACAATCGAAATCCAGTAAGAGGACTGGAGCTGATTCTTTCTTAGTTCTCTGAATTACTGCGGCCTAAAACAAATACGAGGTAAGTAATAAGAGCATCAAGCAAACTCTAGTAGTTCCTTAAAAGCATATGTAAACAAACCCACATTCCCTTCGTCCTCGTCCGATTCTAGAGATGACTCAGTAGAAAGAGACTCACGAGACTCGATTTTTTTCAGCGGTAAAGGATCGGATTCGGAATTAGATTCCGTTGGGAAAGTATCACTGTCATGCCCATTTTTTCCTTTAATCGCATAATCGCTCTCACTCTCCTCATTCTCATCATCCTCTGCCTCCGCCTACGAAATCAAGTAGAGATAAAGGCAATATGAGGAAGGAAGCTGACTTGAAAGTGATGAGATGAGCCAAACCTCTTCACTTCCAGACACCCCTTCCTCTTCGTCGTCCTCGATGGATTCCTCGTCCTCGGTCTCCTGTTGACTGATGCTCAGACTCTGACCGGAGTGGTCGGAGGAAGCACCGGTGTGGGATTGAAGCGGAGCCACATTGACACATCGCGTCGTAGGATCTGGCGGCACCAGTGGCCACTCCGGCAGCTCCTTGTACTTAGCCATACCTCGGCCCAGTAGCTGCGACATGGAACCCAGTCGAAAGGTCGGACGATCTGCAGGCACATAAGCAAAGATACTCTCTGAACACCGCCAATTCGACATCAAAGTGGATGTGAGCAAGTGTGGTCAAACTCAAGATGAACAACTTTTACTTACCCATTCATGTAAACATGAATAGGTTCAGATTGGGTGATCGTCTTTTGGCAGTTACTGTAACATGGCTATGGGAAGCAAGTGATTTAAATGGGAACGTTGATTAAAATGCTAGAAAAGATTTGCATATTCTGTATTGAACGCGCAAAATAAAATCATGATAGACTATACATACATATACTTAAGGAAAATTGGCACTGAAAAATAAGTACTAAACAACTTAACAGAACAAATGAAATTCGGCCCATATGAAGAAGAAAATTAGTGATTAAAGGATCAAAATGTTTGTAAAACAATGCTAGTAGGGCAATAAACTGAATGAATACCTACCAGCGTAGGTGGAGCGAAGAACTGGAGCAGGTTTGGCAGCCAGGAGAATTTTTTTCACGTTGCGAGCCAGGTAGGAGAGCTCAGGCTTCTGCAAAGAAGAGTACAAGCAACATTAAGAATCAAAAACGACGCGAGTAAAGTGTAGCAAGCCGCACTACTAACAGCAGAATCAGTCGACTTCGGAAAGATGAGGGTCCGGAAGACACGCGATCGGTCCCGAACGTCATAGTTTTGGTCGTATTTGGCCAACGTGAAAACGTACTGCGCGATTAGTAGGGTTTGTTTGGCATTCACTATGCACAATTTAGCCGCAAGGTTAAGGATCTATAGCCAAAAAAACAAGACGTGGAAATGGGAAACGGAGAATAATGTGCACCGAGGGAGAGAGAAGAACGGGAGAGCCTAACCTGAAGTTTAACGGCGACATGCTCCTTGGGGAAAGACTTGGCCATCTTGCGGAGGACGTCTGGAGCGATTTTGGGCACGCGATAACCGTACTCTCCCAGTAGCCACAGAATCGATGCTCTGGCCGAGGGCACAGTGATCTCCTCTACCATTTGGGCGATGTGGACAATCACATCCTTGTGATCCGTGGTCTGCACACAAATAACAGCAACAACATAACAAAGGGCATACGACGTCTATATTTGAGATTAACCCAGCACACATACACCGCAGCAGCTCTAAAAGTAAGAAAATCGCCTCTTTTTGACCATAACTTGGATACCCAAAAACGCCCCTACTAAGTGGTCGATTCAAAGATTCAAATAAGGAAAGCTCACGAAAAATATGCCTGGGGGCGCCAGGCATGGTATCAAAAGTGTGCACAAGGAACAACACATGCAAACCATAATCATTGATTAGAAAAAAGGGGAAATTGGCGGCAAGACCCACCACTGACACCACTACGTTTTGCTAATCAGCCGTCTCATTTGTAATCTTTTTAGTTGTCTCAGCGACGGTGTGGCTAATAAGTCAATCCGATTGTAAACGCTTTAATTACAAACAATATGCACGCAAAACCTCAGTATGGGATACGAAAGTGGTACTCGGACGCTGTTAGAAAGCTAATCCTCTGATGTGGTCTACTTATGACAACTGATCAGAAAAATTGGAGTTATTTGCTTGTGTCAATAGTACTTAATATTCAGTCATAGGTGGATGACGAATGGCAATCATGAAAAAAGGATGAAAGGATTGTCTCAAAAGGGCATTCGGTGGAGTACCACACCCAGTCGTAACGGTCAGAAAGCTTACCAAACAAACACGATTTTTACGTTCCTCCGGGCTAAACTAGGTGGAAGACAAGGCAAAGGCAGGAGTAGGTAGAAGAAAGCAGCCACAACAGCCCTGTAGCAGAAGTGACTCACCTGCATTTGCAAAAGTTTGCGCATCACCACAACGCTTTCCGCCACAAGATTCTCTAGAGTTAGACAACATGAAGAATGTAATGAATTTGTCAAAAGGCCCAATCCCGAATATTTTCTCCCAATTCGCAACTAAAAAATATTAAGAACCCACCATTTCTGCGAGAAATCAAACGTAGTAGTCCTGTTAAGCAAGTCTCGGCAATCTGAGGGACCATGCTAGCACACCGCCCGATGCATTGAACTGTCGCCAATACGAGTCCCTCGTCTGAGGAGTCCACGTAAGCCTGAGGCATGTGGGAGAATATGAGGCTGATTACTTTTGTTCCCGTTCGCGTTTACCATTATCATTTCCGCTTTACTGTTATACCCTAATCCAGTTATGCCACTTCGTTAAATCATCTGTGCACATGCCCATTTAGTTGGATGTTACAAACAATTTAGTTGTTGATAGTGCTGCTTCACCTGAAACTCACGAAGGATAATAGAACTTGTTGAGGTATTGATAAGGTTAGTAAGAATCTCCAGTTTCAACAGTTTGACCTGTATGGGATCGCTGTTGAATACGAAGAATATGCGCAAGTGCGGCTCAAAGAGATTGGGGTGGAGTAGGCTCATTGAAGCTACGTTTGAGAGCACGACATGTTCAATTTCTCTGAAAATAGGTGAAACATTTGCAGGTTTTTAAACATTTATCGGTAGCTGTAATAGCAGTATATCTCAAACTTTCCATTCCCCTTATGTGTAGCTGGCTTTGAAAATACAGGTGTCTGATAGAACACCCGTATTACGACTTTTTACAGCATTCGCATAACAAATCCAAACATCTTCCGCGAAATTTTGTGCATTTGATTACTCGGTTAGGATGCATAGTATCATTCAAATTGTGCGCTGCATACTGTCATAAAAGAATCCACTATTGGCAAAGGGATGAAATTTGAAGGAACAAACGCGCCATCATCCCTCCCTAAACCTTTCATTGGATTATCACTACACCAGTAAACACGTTTATTTTTCCTTGGGATAATTCTTTTGGCAACAGCAACCCACTTACCTTTCTTGAGATAATGAGATAGAATGAACCGAAAAAAGTATAACGACAAGCTTACTTTGTGGAGCGCAGAATGCGCATGAGAGCCCTTACGACAGCCCCCATTTCCTCCTTTGGTGCGCAGTGATAAAAGAGTTGCGCCACAGCGATGACCACCTGGGGAATCCAATGGGCAGGTAAGAACAGATAAATGCCAAAAAACCGACAGTTTCTCAGAATAGCTTACGGCAGCATTGTGGCTAAACAGCAGGAGTCGACTGGCTGTGATGAGCAGGTGATAATCAGCGCGCAACATGGCTTCCACAGCGGGATCGATGGAACATCCCGACCGCTTCTTCTTCGACCTTTCACTCCCACTTCCATCAATATCATTGTCGTCGTAATCATCATCGTCGTCCTCTCCTTCCCTCAAACTCCCAGCACACGCTCTATCCTCGCCGGGTGGAGCAGACTTGCTGTGAAAAATGTTCAACGTAGCATCACCTCTGCTCATACTAACAGCAGCTGCGCTCTCCTAAACGAGACATACATTTCGATTGAAAACATTACAACATCTTGAGATTTGACTTGCTTTTAAGCACTGACGCTATATTCACATTGTAATCCACAACCGGGTGCAAGCATTTCATTCTTCCAGGCTCTTTTTCGAGTGTAGAAATAGATCTTACGCTTAGATATCAACCCGAGAGTGCCAGTTCAGACACTTTCCTCATACAAAGTGGTTCAAATGCTAGCTATTTGCACGATACCGTCTGCTTTTTAACCAACAAAACGATATAATGGCCTATTATAAGACTTGCTGGCTGCTACGTAAAACAGCCATAAACTCGTAATATTGACTTTATAACACCTATATGAAAATTAAACCAGAAAATTGGCAAATCACATAGACACATGATTGTAAAGTGGCTCAACTCATCAATGAAACTAGCGGGATCCTATTTCTACCAAAAATGAGATCCAATTTGCCTTATCAAGTTTAACTGCTCTCCGGTGAAGATTTTTTTGCCAAATAGCAGCGATTACTACCATATTCAGAAGGCAATGGTCAGTGAGAGAGCATACCAAGCAAGTCTTTGGGTTGGGGAATTGTGCACGTGCGTATCGAGTGAGCATATTGATAATCGCAATTTGACCCCATTCATCCACATCCATTAGCAGGTTGCACAGCTTTCGATAGTGCCTATATAATCAAAAGCATAAGCAGTGGTAGATCGAGTTTTGAGCTAAATACATGGTATCAAAGGAATTAGTGTCTGTCAACCTAAGCACACCAACAAACGCATACAAATTTGTTACTAACTTATTTAAAGATTCATAACAATGGGTGTTCTTTACAGTATAAGGGGGACCGAAGATAATGCTCAACTCGAAAAAAAATCAGGGGAAACTGACTTATGGACGAGATCAAGGCGCTCGGGGCAGACATCCTCGAAAGCCTGAACTGCACTACCAACAACAATGGTTGAGTTATCCTCAAACAGCTTGCTGATTACCTCCACCAAAGGCTCCTTTTCCTCAGGATCAAGACTGCAATTCACCAGACAAAAACAAGTGCACACGTGTTCCCAATTTAAACAGATTTCTTAACACTTAACTTACCTGTAAAGTTTAGGTATGGCATGTGCAACAGTTTTACGCACGTACGGCGACAAGTCGACGGCTCCATCACGCACAGCCAACATGAGAATCGGCGCGATGACAGAAATGCGGATGGATGAGAGCACTCTCAAAGCCGATGCACGCACCAACTGATTAGCATCCTGTAGATGTAAAAGAGAAAGGAAAAACCGTTGTATCCAAATTTTCCACCTAAATAGCAAATTCATTCAGGCGCAAAAATTCTAACCTTAAGGGAGCGTTGAAAAGTAGAAACTGAGAGGAGAGCAAGATCTTGCTGCTCCTCAGCATAACGCGTCAGGTAGGCATAAACCAACTTTTTTACCTAAAAAATATAAGCCCATAATTTTGAACAGAGGAAAACTGGTGAAAACATCAAGAGAAAAAAGGTTCCCTCACCTCCGGATCCTTAGACACAACATTTTTAACAACCGCGGGAAAGAGATCAGAGCACTCCTTGCCTCTTGCCACCATCTTAGAGCAAAACCAACAATTTAAAACCTTTTTAATAAACGGCACTCATGTAAAATTATTTCGACTTACAGCAATAACGCGTCGCATGGCAGTCAACTTGAGGTTATCTTTGTTGCTATCAAGCATTTTTTTGATATCCTCATTTCTATAAAGCAAAATTTAAAGGTTTAGTGATTTCATTAGTGATTAAAAGTGCTACAACGTCAAAAATTACTTCTGACAGTCCGAACAGAAGATCATGCTTGACGCGGGGTCCAAGCCAACCTCGAAGTCAGACGACAAAGACGGCATTCCAGGTGTCTGAAATCCATTACTATCAGCAAGGAACTAAAATACGAACATTGTAAAGTAAGGGAAAAATTAAGCCTAAACAAACTATCGACAACCTACCTTCACACAACGCTAGATATAAGTCAAAAAGAGTCGTCACACACTATCTAATAGGGAGATCGTGATAGAACAATGTGTCGTTAACAGTGACGTAATCACACAATGATTATACGAATTAAACCTCACACGCGAATTATTCCACAATATAAGTTCACATACATCAATACCCAAGAATAAGAAGGCAAAGAATTCTTCATGATTACTGTTTAACTAGAAATAAGATAAAACCGCTCCCTTAGATTTACCTGGGACCAAAATGGAATTATTTTCTAGAAGTTCAACGTTTGCAACACACTTCCATTTATAGGCCTAACTAAATTGAATTAAAATATGACGACTAATTTGAGTCACTATGCGGACAATACACAAAATCCGGCATCTAATGCAGACACCTAATATCTGAAGTACCTCTGACGTCTGCATCCTTAAGCCGGCGGTATTACAGTCTACAGGCGGCTATATGTCAAGGCTATTGTAAGGTTTACTGACCGTAGATTACTTATTCATGTCATTAAACTTTTAAAAGCCCAAAGATAAAAAACCTGATAAAAAGACTATGAATAAGAAATAATCTTTCACGTTTAATCACCTGAACGTCCGTGGAGATCGCTAGAGACCACCAGAATGTCCCCATACAACTTCACATCACTAGACAGTAAATGGGTCCTACGGTATGCGGATTGGCCACCCTCAGCCAAAAGGCAATTCTGCACACGGCATCTTGAACGGCGGTGTCCCTCCCGCGGTCGGCACCACCCCAGGAGAGCCAGCGACCAAGCACTTAACTGTGTGGGATTCTTAAACTGAACCAGAGATGACGCTACACAAAATAGTTCGCCAGTGCCGCCTAGAGCGGCTAAGTGAATCGGACGAGCTCGTGAGTCATGACTGAGGAGACAATCCTGTCAAATCCGATCGAGCGGAATCACCCGTAGCACGTGACACGACAACTCGCGCCGCCATCCTTTTCGTGAGACCGACTAGTGCGACTTCTGCAGAGATCACATCAGGTATCACATTCGGTATCCTGAAAACCAAAAATACCTCCGAACCGGAAAGAAAACGAGAACAACACAAGGACCACATGACAGATGAAAAAAAGAACTGTTTACTAGGTTCGTCAAACAGCACCGCCGGACGAAGAGGATTGGTCTTTATGGAGAGAATGAGATGAGGAAGTTATGGTATCTACGAGGGGATCCATCATCAGGAGGCTTTGGTGTTCCACCACATCAGCGCTGTCACTGAATGTTGATTTCCCGTCAGAAATTTGGGTTGTCAAACCGGCACTTGAAAAAAAAAAGATTTGGCTATTTGGTACATGCAATTACTCATTTCTTCCAAGTACGGAAGTCCACGCCTCCCTTGAGCTAGGTGACAGACTATGCAGGAAATAGAATAATCAAAGGGGAATTGTCCTTGCAGTCGAGTTTGGTGGCAAATATTGACGCCAGAAAAATGTTTTAATGGAAAAAACGTACGTATTATCAGGCACATTTTGGGGTGCTGCCTGCTTAATCTCGGGTTTTCGCAGAATAGGAAGGCGCAAAACAGTGCCGGGAACGATGGATTTGTCGCCAGAAAGAAGCATGCGATTTAGAAACTTCAACTGGCCAACCTAGAATAAAAAGCATATGACAGATGAAAACGAAATTTGATAAGGCGTCCTTGTCTAGTAGACGAAAATGCAAAAACCAGAGGCGCAGTGATGCAGTAAAGTGTCTATAAAACACAATATACACATTGTGAACCAAAGAATAGAAAGCCAAAACACACAGAGATATCATTTCTGACCGCAATTGAGGTGAGAGTGTCACTGGCTTTAACAATGTAAGTGGCGAAAAGCTGATTTGATTCGCTATCCAAATTTCCACAAAGAGTACCGTAACACTTTGGCCGGGCGCATTGCTGCAAAATCCATGTTTCTTCAGTCATATATTAATTTGACACTAAAAATGAGAGTGACTTGAACAAAATCATCCCACATGCACCCAAGAAGGCCGCTAAAAGTAGTTCAAAATAAGAAAGCAGGAGAAAACAAAGAATTTAAAAGCAAATCTCAACAAGACATGAAAACTAAAGTAAGTAGGCATGCAATGAAGAATATAAAAAATGTCAAACCTACGTCTGGCTTAGCAAAAATTCCAATATCGCATATCTACAATCAATTATCTGAATAGGGTGAGATGCGTACATTACCTATTTCATAAAAAACATTTTTTTAAGTAAGGGTCAAACACTCCGAACAATCTTAAATAGTATCTACCGGCAAAAAATGAAGTAGGCAGAGACCAATGAATACAATGACGACACAATCTGTAAATGCAAACCATTAAAAAATGAATTCGGGGACACAAATACACTAATAATGGCAATAGTTGAGGACAATTCGAGAAACCCACATTGCACACAAGAAGCAATCAGCTGCCCGAGTTCAAAGTCATGCTCTCCAGTAATTAACCATTCAAACTAAACCATAAGTTAATGTGATTTATATTATCACTAAAGCACTCTGCAAAAATCAAAAAAGCCTTTTTTATTTTAATTTTTTAAATGTAAATAAAACAGCGGCAGTAAACTCTAATATCTACTTTGTTAATTGCTCTAAATACTGTAGAAAACTTAAATTTTTCTTGCAGAGTTTCTTTTCATTAAAAATTTTTATTTATAAAAAAAGTAATCATTACACATTTTTTTATTTATCCAGCTGCTTAAATGTGCATGTTCACAGGTAGACTGAAATAGTCATTCTGACGGGATTTTTCAGGTCTATATTGACTACTTAGATTGTGCCGCAACACCACTGGTCTTTCCCCAAATTGCAATGAGCCCAGCTAAGTGGGCGTACCTAGTTGCAGCACCCCGAGACTGTCCTGAAAACGAAAGCAGACTTAATACTCGAGCAGAATATGTACTGCCAGTGTGCAAATGGGATTGGTGCTGCATGCGTAGCTAGGAGGCCAGCTAACATGGCAAGGGTTAAATGGTAGAGACCTAGAGTAATCCTTTATCTAAACAGATTTAAGGAGCAATTAACGTGTGACATAGGTTTTGCCAAACTGTGGGCATAAACTTGTTTAGCGACATAAAGCCTTTGGATTAATAAATCAAGTCAATTCCCTCTTTTTCTGAAACACTTTTGATGGGGTCGGATATGCTTCGCTGGCCTTTGCTCTTGCTTCATTGGCGCTCATTTTTAGGAACCAGAAATTTGGACGCGCTAAATGTAAACACCGTTCTTGACTCCTTTCGGTTAGTTTACACGGATCCAACAGTCACGCCAACAATCTAACTTCATACTCTTAGTTTCTGATGGGCAATGAAATCAGAATTCCTCTTCATTTGGGTTGGATCCGCATGCTACTGCCATCAATGCTTTAGCATAAATTATTTATTAGTGTATGGAAGAGTTTGGGTCGGAATTTAATGGCATCAGACGGGAGTATTGCATCTTTTTGGGGTTTTATGAAGTCAAAAGGAGTCATAGCACTAGGACAGTGTATGCATTATCGATGCACAGTTGAACCGAGGGGTCACATGTAGGTTTTGGAGGCTATACCGCTTAGCGGAAGTACAAAGGTGGGTACTTAAGTGCCCACCAAACCAAAACAACTAATAAAAGCATTCCAACACTAGCCATGGGGACGCTGAAACCATGAAGCCGCAGGTGCACTAAAGCAATTCCAGTCGTTTCCATATTACAGTTTGCCCTTGCTTTAGCGCATTGAGACTTCCCTGAAGATGGAAGGCGGCATTATACATTCGCAGAATATATATGTATTCAACATGCAATAGGAGTTAGGGTTACTGGCACGGCCCAAAGTCCAGCCCACCCGCCGAAGGCACAATAGCGAAGACACAAATTCGCCCATTACTAAAACCAGGAGTTAAATATACAACCAATGTACCATACCCGAAGCGAAAAATTTTGTTTTGTTATTGTATGAGGTTCAATAGGGCTTGATTATGCGATCTTTCATTTGTATTGGCAGGTTATGGCACTACTCAGTTTTAGTGTTTATTTTAAAGCCGTTTAGGCTGCCCGAAATCTCTACCCTCGGGGTTTTAGCTGCATATTTTAGCCCTGCCTGAGCCTCCTAGCTCCTATGCGCACAAATACCAAACCTCTTATGCTAGCATAGAGAACTCTTCAATAATTTGATTTCCTTGCTTATGGCTTTGCATGAAGATAATAATCCAGTTCAGGAGAATCAATGTACATGCTTATGTACTTAAGGTTCGTACAAATCAGTCCGATGATTAAAATGACTTTAATAATGTGCAAACTCTCAACTCAGCAGTAACGACATGAAGAGAGGAAAGACAGAGGGTTTAGATACATAAATAAATGCATATAAAGCCAATCTGTGCGTGACTCGATTGTCGGTACGAGCAAGAGACATCTATCTATGGTTGTGTCTAGGGGATAGCGGCTTGGTGTCATTGAGCAAATGGTGAGGGGGATTTTCGACGGAATGACAAAATAGTACAGGCGAAATGGAGTGAATGAACATCAAGAAAGGGATTAAGAATAGAATCAGAAGCAGGAAATCAATGAACATCTGTATCAGAATCTGTTGGTATGGATTCGGTCTAAAATATAAATAGAGGAACTATTAGCAGTATCAAAATGAATGCCACAGCGCAAAACCGTTGGTATCTCGTTCCCTCTATTCATTTACTGAGGAGGCCTAAAGACTGCAAAATGCGGGGAAGCGAGATATTTGCTTACATCTAAGATACTGGAAGCGTCCATGGAGGCTCCATTAACCTTAAATCTGAGGTCGGCAGCACTGAGCCAGGGTTTTTCGAGGCCAAACAGCTCTCTTCCACCACTACCACCACCACCACAAAAACCGCTAGACGTCGCTGTTGCACCGCCATCCACTTCCGCCCTTCCCAGTGATCGGTTATCGTCGCCGCCGTCGAATAAAGCGACGCTATGCACAGGCAAGCACCGCTGTCGGTCACAGGCTGCCTTTAGGAGCTGGCGCTTGATCACGTCCACACGTCTCTCCTTCTCCGACAGGCTATCCGCGATGTGGTCCGTCAACTCCATCGCCAGATTCTCGATGCTCTGTGCGGGGGCGAGTAGAGCTATCAAATAACAGATAATACCAAATAGATAAAAACGTAGAGAATAGTCCTGTAAAAACTCACACGTCGCATCTGGGAGGTGGTGATGCTGGGGGAAGTGGAGATGGAGGAGTTAACAGTAGTCGTGTCTACAGAAAGGGCCAAGGCAACGGAGTGTGATGTGGCACTGGCGGTAGACGAAGGTGGAGCGAGTGTTACTGAAACCGCCGCTGGAGACGGTGGTGGAGGAAGAAGAACGGGTAACCGAGACGACGGGAGCAGCGGCGGAGGGCGGCAGTGACGTCTCCCGGGCTGCTGGCGAAGACGCGGTGAGGAGCGAAGCGATACACTCAGCGTTGGCCCCTGCACAGAGGGTAAGCAAGGTGGACACGGTAGCCCCATCTCCACTCCACCATCATCCATCTGGTGCAGCCTCTCGATTGATACACCATGCGTCGGTAACAGGGACTTCGACCGTCTGGTGTGACAACTGATTCAGAAAAGCCTATTCATGAAAGGGCAAAATCCGAGGAAAGAACATTTTCTGCATAGCTGAAAAGCCGATCTTACGTGTCACCAGATTGGGGGCGCGAATTGATATTTTGGAATATGACTGTAGCCTTACTTCCATTGAAACCTCCACTCTCGGAAGAAAGTGAAGATGAGACTGAGAAGCTCACTCGTAAATTCTGGAGCGTAGAAGAATAATGGGCGTTTACAGTGGTGAGCGATTGAGATACATCCGGTGTAGGATTACTGGAGCACCACGAACTTCGTCTTAACACTAACTGTTTTGGCCGCTCTTGCACACGTTGACATAAGTTGTCTCGAGAAGCAGAAAAACGGGAGACGGACACGATGGTCTCAGGATTGTTCTGAATAACAGCATCGTTCTGATCGCTATTTGGTGAGTTTTCAACACCGACTTGTTCCTCTACCTCTGAATCAAGTGGTCGTGCTTGGAATAGCATGTTATTATGATCCATCGCCTTATTCCCAGAAGTAACATTGATCGATTTGCAGCAAGCACCATTCCTCTTCTCTTGAGCATCGGCGTGTATGTCACCAACACTAGCGAATCGTCTCAATTTGACTTTCCTGTAATAATGCACATTTTTTAGTGAAAGTAGCATTACAGAGAGAAAAAAAGAGAGGAGTCGAAAATACCACCTACATCAGAGAGGCGTTCTCTAAAAGTTTTGAGCGCGTTGCAGCATACCAAACACGGAGCCATCGAGGATTGTGCCCAGTCACGGGCTGTTTGCTTCCCCATCGTGAGGGCTGCTCGTCAACTTTTGGCCGAGACGGAGAGTGATCGGCAGAAAGGCTGGAGACATTTACGGTGCCACAATTTTTGCAGGTGAATTTCTTCTCTGCGCCCTTCTTTTGGCACTCCTTCAATTGGGAGCGTCGACTACTCCTCACGGGAGGAGGTTTTTTGGCAAAGTTCTCCACGATGAACGGTGTGTTGCTGCGACTCCGCTCATATATCAGGCGCCTGTAACGATTCCGCTCCCTAAATGCAGATTAGACTGCTTTTCTCGTGTTGCTCAACAGGCATACATTCGTATGGAATCTATTAATTGCAAAATTGAAGCATAGGAGCTAGCGAAATGGGTGTCTTACGTACTGGGTCACTCTCTGTTGTTCTCTTTCAAGTTCCTCCGTAAGGGCCTTTAGGTGGCTGCACAACTGATTTACTCGGTGCAATTTTTCTTCGTAGTTCTGGCGAATGCTCTGTGCGTCCTTCAGCTCCTGCCTTCGTTGGCGCATCAGCGAAATTTCCAGCTTCGGTGCTCGTGAACCCTCCTTTAGAAGGTCCTAAAAGCAGATGAAGCAGGGCAAATGCCTTATGCGAATTGTGAGAATTAAAGTAGCAGCTTGGCCGACTCGACTACCAATCAAGTTCAGACTAAGAGGATAGGCTTCAACAAATAGTTTCATTTGCACCCTCAAAAGCACATCCTTCATTTTCATACTCGATAGTTCAGAAGACGGGACCGAAAATGAAATTTATCCCCAAATACCTCGCTTTCCAAAGCGATGAATATTTAACCTCCTTGTCAGCAAACGGTCATGCTGTGTAACAAATGCCTGAAATTGATTTATCAACACTTGAAAGAATAGTATAGCGTGGTTGCACTTTGATTACTACGAGATTAGAATTGTAGCTTTCCCAATTTTCTCAAAAAGTACACCGAAGAACAAAAATACAATGTGACAAATTATACGCCTGATCTAAACAAACCTACTTTGGAGTTAAATCAAGCTTCAAATAGAGCATTAGAAAGGTAGAACAAAGAGTAGACGATCGTAAGGGTATAGAAATTAGTGAACCGTGAGTAAAAAAGGGAGCGTCACAAACCATCAGTTGTAGGTGAATTTCTTCTTGCCATAATTCACGCAGATTGGTGAAATTTTCATCTTTCCATTGGAGCAATTCATTGCAGGCCAATTCGAGCTGAGAAAGAATTTGAGGAAAACTAGGCCGATTTCTCGGTTTGGGAGACCTGTAAGACACGTAGTAAGAATTCCCCATGTATAAATTAAAACCGAATACCATCAGATAGGAAATTCGAAAGTGCCACTAGCGAAACTCTACAGATTCGACGTTCATTCAACATAGTTCACTAGTGACTTAGATTTGCTTTCCTACTTCCCCTGATTCCCACCAAACGGGTTGGTAGACTTGTAACTTCATCTATAGCCAGCCTAGCAAAATTGGGCATTTGATGATTACTTTCTGAGGGCTATTTCAATTGACATGAATACAGCCTATCCAAAAGGAATTTACACCGTGACTTATGACTATTTCGAAGCAAAGACGCGTTTAGCGCGCTCGAAAACAGTAAATTGGTTAACGCTTTCCCTTGAATTAGAATCGTCTATTCAAATAGGTGACAGTATGTGTATGAAGAGATCGCAATAATGCGTAACGGAAAGAAGGATAGTAGGAGCCCACGCCACGCAAATAATAGTCGGAATGACTTACTTCACCGCAAAAACAATAACATACCAGCATCGCTTCATGAGCACGCGAAACTCAGTGGGACAGGCAGTGGGGATGGGGAGACTGAACAGGTTGCTTGCAATCCCGTATATGATGGCTCCACAATCAACGCCATTGAAGGGCACCTCAGAGGTTAATATCTCCCATACAATTACACCAAACGACCTGAAAAAGGGAGCACTAAACTTGTCCACATAAACCATCTCCTTTGTATCCAAAATCGAGTAAGTTAAGCATTACCAGACATCAACCTTGAAAGAGCAAGGCTCGCCACGCATAATTTCGGGTGCCATCCAGGCGACAGTACCGGCGAAGGACATTTTGGTCGAGTTTTCAGTAAATTCTTTGGAAACCCCGAAATCAGATATCTTCAGCTTTCCGCCTTCACTTATCAAGATGCTTGATAAATCCAAAATGAAATTGCTGTCGCATTGAGTCAGATTGCTTAAGTTGATTAAGGCTCGTTATCAGAAGATAAAAAAATTCGAAAAGCTCCTTCCTCTAAAAGTGGTGAAATGGCTTCGGAATGGTGATGGTACCATGACATAATTTACGCGGTTCTATTCTAAATGGTTTTAAAATTTCATGGAACTAGTAAGATACTAAACTTTTCCTCAAACCTTTGTAGGAGGACTGAAGAAAACTCACTTCGGAGACTTTAGATCCCGATGAACAACTTTGTGGCTATGGAGGTAATTCATTCCTTGGGCAATTTGCTGGGTCCAATCAATTATGTTGTCAGTGCTCACTGGAGGGTTGTTGTGGAGGAGCTCGAAGAAGGTGCCATTCGGGCAGTACTCCATGAGTATAGAATACCAAGGTCCATCAATGGAAACTCCGCTGCCATAGAGAGGAGGAAAGCGCACACGCATCGTATTAGACTTGGAAATGCAAAAGACATCAACACCACAAAAGGAGAAATACAGTTGCGATTGGTCATCACCCAGCTACTAATTTCGCCCAACTTCGAGGCTGTGCGGAAAAAGGCGACTGGGCGTGCATCTAACTTGGTCCAACCTAATATAATGTAGCGCGGCCGAATGGCGTTACTTCCCAAAAGCTCTCCAGCGAATCGCTATCCATCGTGATTTTCTCTGCTACACACCTCACAAATCGTACGAGAAGTTTTAAAATAAACCCCGGTTCTATTGCAGTACAAACACACTAGCACTAAAAGAGGGTTACTCGTTGTGAAAAAAATAACAAATGATAATCAAAAACACCAGCTAAATTAGGTTTCTCAAAATATGTGGGAATTTGAATGGATGGTCAAAATAGTTTGTAGGGAAAATCATAATGAATGCCTAAAAGAGAAGAGCAACATACAGGAACTGAACGACGTTAGGATGGCAGAGGCCCCGCAGATGTCGAATTTCCGTCTCCGACTGTTTGCTTACTTTCTTCACAGCAATGACGCGACCCCTCAGATTTGCCTTGTAGACCGATCCCTGTGCACCTGAGCCAACATACTGAAGATCGAGAATCTCCGATGGTGGCCATTCCCACTGGGGCTCTAAGGGGTACGAAGCTATTTTAAATGGCTATCATATACAGACTAATTATTGCATTTCCAAACTCAAAATCATTTGTTATAACAAAGTATGCCTCAAGAAGAGTCTAACGATGTTAGGCGCTGTGATATAACGAACTCGTAAACGCATTATGGATAACACCACACTGCGGTCACACCACAGAGTGAACGCATTTATTATTGACGCATGACAATGTTGGCTAGAATACAATTAAGAAATCAAATCAATAGAATGGTAAATAGACAGACGGCTAATAGGCAGAAAGCAGACAAGTAAATGAGATGAGCTTCCAAAATTTACCCGAACTCTATCACTAGTGTAGGTTTTTAAATTGACGGGAAAAAAGGGTCGGGAAGTAATGCGGTGCCAAAGAGAAGAGGAAGAAAGTCTGTTTGGTGATAAATTGTCGTCATTTATCTGCTAAAGTGCAAGCTCTCAGAAAAATCAACAATATGAACTTTACCCTCCGCGGCTTGACAAGACACTGAATCCTTGTCTTTCATAAAGAATCGAAGAAAAGCCCGAAAGCATCCCGTGTACTCGTGATGATTTTGTTTCTCCACAGACGTATCTGTGAAACCCTTAGAGCTGACCTGCTGTGGTGATGATGTTTCCAGGTTGAGGAGGAAATTGGATACAGACAGCGTCAACTGTTCGTCCAACCTCGGTTCCAGCGGAGGTGGGCTCTCTAGCCTCGGGATGACACCGCTACCGGCAAACGGACGATCGGAGATAGATGCGACAACTTTCGATTGGCACGACACAATTGGTTTAAAGTGCACCGTTGAAAAATGGGTATGACTCTTAGACATAGCATTTTCTTCTTCGTCATCATCATCATACTGTGAAGACTCTGTGTATGGTAAAAAAGATTTTCGAAGAGCGACTTGTGAATACATTGGTCGAGGAAGCTCGGTTTTTGAGGCCTCTCTGAAATTAATTAGGACTGAATGACAACACCAGTAGGGAAATGGGTTAGTGAATTTTATGGTTTCTTAACTAAGTATACAAACAAACAAACCTGAACACGGATGCAATGGGCTCATGTTTCCAGACGAACATTTGTGGGTCTGTTGATGTCGAGTGGAGCGACGACGTGATGCCATCGTCTCGTGTGGTGATGAAACCGCTTGAAGACGAATGGGTATACGACAACTCGCTGCATGCCTCCCCTTAAAAATGAATAAAATCAATTATTCAAAATACATATTCTCACATATTTTACTAGGATACTAAATAGCTCAATAGTTTTTTATCCAAAAAAAAAGAAAAGAAGATCAGCCTGAGGAGTGAAAGATGATGCTTATGTATTTTGTACTACTGCATGCATTGACAATAGATGTGAACCAGAGGTGTGGGCGCATACGATTAGCGGTTTAATGTGGCTGGGGCGAATTATATCAACGAAACTACACAAAATACCTATTATCTCACCACCACCGCAAAACAATATTCAGAATACTAGATTTGGGGAGCACTAGAAACCACACATGACAATACATTTTAAAGAAGCAGAAGGCAAATAAACATGAGAACACTACGCTTGCAAGACAATGAAACACAACAATACCTGTAAATCTCTTTAAATTATTTGTAAAATGGGAGATATCTGAAACTGTATCTTCAAACGAAACACCTGAAGATGATAGTGATGATTCAGATGAAAGAGGTTTAGCACGTGGGACCTGTCTCCCCGAGTACTTCAAGGCATCTGGCACATCCGACCGACAAGCGGTGTTGCAAGCCATAAGACTGTACTAAGAATTAGAGGAAATACACTGCATGTATAACCCAAATGTGCACAACAAATGGTGCTAAAAAGGTTGCCAGGGGTAGTAAAACACGTTCTTGCAGCTAACGCCGTAATACGCAGCAAAAACCAAGATATCAATAAATGAACAATCTCTACAATCAAGAAGATCAAACAAATAGGCCTGAATGCGAATTTGAAAAAACAGCCTCACAAGTGTACCGACACCAAAAAATAAGTAAAAATGAAATGAGTCGTTATAATAAAAAGATAACAAAATACACATAAGATTTCAAGTCTGAAAAGAGATGCTTTACGAACAAACCTGGGACATACAACGACCACGGATGAGGTATGCCACAACCAGTGTTCGAAAACCGACGATAATTATTCTGCTTCATCCTTTGAAATAGAGCAATTAAACACATTATGTGCTCAAACAGGAATAAGATTTCTGCAGATAGCAACAAAGCGAAAAAAATTAAAGAGATTTTAGTTAAAATTTTATAACCAACTATATTACACGTGTTTGCAAACAGCGCAACAAAAGGCAATGTGTAAAGCTATGACAAATTATTAAAACCTAGTACTTGCAAACATTAGAAAACTAGTTAATCCTTTAAAATTTCAATATATTTTTACCTTTTAATAGTACTGTGCACATTTTCTCCACTTTTGACAAGAGAGCAGAAGAGATGTTCTTCTGTAATACTAGCTTAGAGACCGCATTAGAGAAAGGATTTCAAGGATTTCAAAATATTTAACCCGATTTCATTACACGTTGTTTGA